ATTAACAGGCCTTTTTACCAGTACAATTTAATCGCTATACATGAAAATCACCCTAAGTGACCAACAGATGGCACTGAGAGTGTGCAAAACAATAGCATTGCAGTGTTAAGGGCATATATATTTCCTCTCTTCAGTTACCTTGCTCTAACAAGTATAGGGAAATATTAAAGAAAGCAATTACTAATGGAACATTATTTGAAGAAATAATGTCAAGGCTAGTCAGACTCTCAGGCCAACCTACCTCACAGGATTGTTGTAAGGATAAGATTGAGAGCAAGAGGAGGAGAATGATGCAAGCCAAATTGAGTTCTTTAAAAAAGAAAAAGGCAGGATATAATTCTAATTAATAAATAAATAACCCAGCTCTCCACAGGATCCCTCAAGCAGGATGGGTGCAAGACATCCTCCTGCCCAAGCTCCTCAGGAACTGGTATATGCAGGTATGCCACCTGTGGTAAAGAGCTGGCACTCAGCCAGCAAGGCAAGAAGCCAGTTAGCCTTCTCCTCCATGAATCTGCCCAGTCCCCTTTTAAATCCAATGGTAATTGATGGCCATTGCCATCAGTTTGCAGTGCAGTTTGCAGTGCAGCAAATTCCATAGTTTAACTATATGTTGTATGAACAACTACTTCCTTTTATCTTCCTAAACCTCCTACCCATCAGCTTCATGGGATGACCACTCCGCTCACTTCCTTTGGCAAGGACTGCTGGAGAAAGGCAGCTGATGACAATCTCAAGGTCCAGGCAGGTATATATGGGAGGTGACGATCCTTCGCGTAATCAGGATCCAAGCCATTTAGGACATGAATGTTAATACAAGCACTTGAATCATACTCAGAAATGGACTAGCAGCCAGTGCAAATGGAAGAGTACTGGCATAATATGAACAAATTAGCTAGTCCCCATTAGCAATCTCACTGTCCTATTTTAGCTCACCAGAAGTTTCTTGACTTGCAGAACGTTGATGGCAATTGGCCCCATAGAACAGGATTGTCAGTGCCTGGAGGCATTGGGACCAGGACAACAGAACACAAGGCAGAACAGAGACCAAACACAGTCCAAACCCAGTAGTAACAGAACAGGCCGAGATCAGGAACCACAAGTATGTATTAGGACAAGACAGGGACACAATCAGAAACAAGCCAAGGCTCAAGAACCTGGGAGACAACCAGACAAGGAGCTGATACATGAGGCAGGGTAACCAAGCAGAGTTCAGCAGCAGTGAAGGTGTGGCAAGCAAGACTACATAGCAAAGTGTTGAGGCAGGGCAAGATGAGACATGGCAGGATACAGCAAGGTACAGCATGCTAAGACAGCAAGGCAAGGCTCAGCACAATGAAGCAGCAAAACAAGGCAAGACATGACCCTATATGCATCAATGATCAGGCAAGGTGCAACAGCTGAACCACATCACAGCTACCATGAAGACCTGCATTGCTGAGGCGGCTCAGTGAGACAGGATCTGGGTCAGGCAAGATGCAGGTACTACAACAAACAGGAAAACCTGTGTTGCTGAGGCAAGTTCTGGAAAGAAGGACTTGCTTTTACATAGCTCTTCCTCCAGGGTTCCCAGCTGGCATTCATCAGGAGACACAGCTCCAGTAGGACCTGGGACTGATCCGGTGAATACCAAAGTGAGTATTCCGGTCCAGGCCACCAGATGGAACCCAGAGTGGCACAGTTCATGACAAGGATCAGGGAACCTGCAGTCTTCCAGCTGTTGCTGTTCCCATCAGTCATTTTGCCTGGGGCTGATGGGAAATGGAATGTTAACATCTGGGTGGCCACCCAGATGAGGAGAGAGAATGGAAAGGATCAGAAATCAGAAACTGGACAGTCTGTGATTCTGTAAATTGAACTACAATCCTACATCCACTTTCCTGGGAGGAAGAATCATTGTTTCTATAGGATTGCATTGTTAAGCATATGGGTGCGATGGTGCAAATTTGGAATGGTAGATAGTCCATTATGGGACAGGGAGGAGAATAGATGGCGGCAGGAGAAAAGAAATTGACTTGCCTAAGCCCCCGAGAGCAGGAAAAAGAATAACTTTTGACTTTGAAGGGATCCTTCTTCCTGAGCCAAGGTAGTCATGCTATTGGGGTATTCTAGGAGGTCAACTTCCCTCAAGTCCTCCTGAAATTCTCCCCTTTGCAACAAGGCCTGAACAGGAGTACAAGGTTCCTCTTCAGGACTGGTTGAAGCCCCAAAGAAAAGCAGTTCTTTTAATGGCTGGGACACATGATACATTCAGTGACAGGCCCACAGTTGTACAACTGTGATGGCCAATCAGTTCAGGACAAATGCACATACCTGACAAGAGGTCATAGGTACCAGCTCTGGCAGTAGCCATAAGCTTCAATGATTTACAAAGAGTGAGATTAAATTAGTCAGATTCCTAGCCTGTCGGTAGAATATTTAGCTTTATGTTTCTCATATGTATACATGCTGATCATCCCTTTGGATCAAACATTTCAAATAAGGCCCTGCGTGTGGCGCTTTTGATCATTAGCCATGACTGGAAAAAATTATATCATCCTATTCAGAAGCAGTATCTCTCTGATTGCTAAATAGACAAAGCAATCATTTGTGAGCAACCACTGAAAGATAGCAGGCACTAAAGGCTCCCTTTGGTGCAATCCAGCACAGCAGGTGTTGTCTTGTGACTTTATTCTTCCACTGAGTGTTCATTTGTTCATTCAAGTCGCATTCTGATAGAAGCAGTAGGGAAGTCCAGTCCCATTCCCTCAGTAAAATAAGCCCCATGATGCAGCAATGACCCCTTGTGGCAAATGGTAGTAAAAGCTGCTGCTCTAAAATTATTGCTAAGTTGATTTGATTTTCAGAGATAGGGTACAGGCCAATCAATCAGTTGACTGGTATAATGTTCCAACCAGGAGTGCAAAGATGATTCTTATGCTGCCAGTGAGAACCTATTTTAATGGTGGTATTCTTTCTGTTCCAGTCCCACTCATTCTTTCCAAGGGCCTGAAAGTATAGGAAATGCAGAGAAAGCATAGCAAACACAGTGTGAACCAAACCACACTGAAACTGGGATCAGGCTGAGCTTTTGAGGGAGCCAGCTAGGTTGGAAATGGAAGAACTGGTGTAGAGCAGACTCTGAGGTCCTTCAAATAGGGCAGGAGAAACTGCCTCCTGTCCTTTATATTAGCCAGTCACCAGAACCAGTTCTGTAGCTGCTGTCAGACATTGAGCAGCTGGGGCACTATCTAGTATTGGCACTGCACTTCTGCTTGTTCCATTACACCTGTAGGGTTTCCTGTCAAGACAACAGCAGCAAACGTGCTAAAGCAACAAGCTCCCTTCTGAGAGTTTTGCAAAACTGCCCCATTCTAGAAACACAAATTTCTGACTGTTGCAAGAACTGCTTCAAGAACCATATTAGGCATAATTGGAAACGGAATTGAAAATAAAATTGTCAGTTCTCTCCTGATACAGTCTATAATGTGATCACAGTTCTGGTCACTGCACTTTTAAAAGGATATTCTAGGGAAAAAGTGCTGAGAAGGACAATTAGCATGAGCCAGGGGCTCAAGTGACTCTCCTATGAGGAGAGTTTGCAACATCTGGGATCATCCAATCTAGGAAAAGGGTAAGGGAGACATGATAGAAATGTACAAAAATATGCACAGTGCCAAATAAGTGGATAGGGAGAGAATTTTCCATCTGTCATAATACTAGAACCCAAGGTCATCTCTCATGAAGCAGGCTGATGAGAAATTCAGGAGAGATGAAGTACTTTTTCACACAGTGCCTACCTGAAGTATGACATTCACTTCCACAAGATGCAGTGATCTTGTGGATTACTGGAAAAGCTTATTGAACAAATTCATGGAGAAGGCTACCAACGGCTACTAGTCCTTGTGGCTTTATGCTTTCTCCAGTATGTACACCAGTTGCTGGGGAATATGAATGGGAAGCTGCTTGTAAGTTTACTGTGGGCAGCTGCTGTTGGAGGGTGGGGGTGGGTGGAAGAGAAAAACAGGAAGGAAATGTAACCTTTTGTTTGATCCAGCATGGCTCTGGGGCTCTTATTGTCTAATAGCAGGTCCCAGAAGTGCAGGGGCAACATAGGACTTCCAGGTTCCAAATCTAGCCTTAAAACTAGCCTTAAAACTACCCATATCCCTACACCAGAACCTGAAAATCAAGCTTTGTTGAGCCAAATCCCAGATAAAAAATGCAAAATGTAGCTGTGATGGCATGTTATCCAGATGACTTTAAAGACTAATTATTCATGTAAACATGGGGCCTACATCGCAAGGTTGCAGTGGAGATGGCTGTTGTCTATTCCGCTTCATTCCTCTATTTTCTGGGATCTCCCTCCTCCCAAAATAGCCAGTCTTCTGAAAATGTTCAGTCTGCATCGTGATGCTTTGAGGGTTCTTCCCAATTCTTACATTTTGTAAAGACTTCTTGAACTTCCACAAACCTTGGAGTTCCCTCAGTTCAGATTACATAAGTAGGTGATGCTGCTTTGGCTACAGAAGCAACAGAGAGCCTGAATGTCACAATTGGAGCTCATGGTGATAATGGTTATATGCTACCTCCAGGAGCAGAAGGAGAATGTTTCTATCTACAATGGGGAACAGATGCAGCATGTTGGAGCTTTGAAAAGTGGTGGTTGGCATGTTCCACTTAGAAGGTACTGTTCCGAGTAGCCACCACCAGAATATTTGCTAAAGATGATTTCTGAGAAATCCTCTCCCCAGCGCACCCCATTCAGTGAGGTCTCCCAACACTTTGTGTGGCATTTGAGGGGCTGGAGAGGGGGGTATGGAAAGGAGGGGGTAAGAATATTCATTTCCACTAGCCCAGTTGCTCGCGTTTAAATCTGGATCCAACCCAAAGTGTGTACATAAAGAGCTATTTGGGTTTTGGCACTCGGCTGTGCTTACATTTTATATGACATTTCAGATGTACATCAAATTATTTAAACTCTGAAACAGAACAAGTAAAGTTCAGCCAATAAATACATATTATATTTAAAAATCCCAATATTTTAATGAAAGAAAATGAATATCCACACATTTGCACTTCTGTACAATTTTGTGATATATATATATATATATATATATATAATCATTTTAAGCTGTTTACAAATCACATTTAGTGCTTCAAATATCACATAATGTTGACATATTTCTGGCAGAAATAAATATATTGCACTTAAAAAAGAAAGTCTTTTCCTGTTGTTGTTGGATGTCATTTCCTAATGTATGTACTCCCATCCCCACAAACATTTTGCCCTTACCTCCAACACACACACGCGCACATCATTACATGGTGAATGTGCTCACGCAATTAATTAAAACAATTTAACACAGCAAACAACAGACTGTAATGCAATCTGTTAAGAGAAACTATCTCCAGTTTTCACTTTCCCCATGTTTGAAGAACACTTTCCTCATTTTTCTGGTGTGACAGAAAGAAACCAAATGCCTATTTCAAATGTGGCAGAGCTAAAATACAGCAACCTGTATTTGTCGTTCAAAACCCCTTAAAATAAGTTATTTAAAAAGTAATATATGTAGAGCAGAATCCTATGTCTTTTTGGATAGGAAAATTGTCCTATAACTCCCATGCATAAGGTTACATCTTTATTGACTGAAATCATTGCTTAGTATATTCAAAAAATAATAATCAAACCCTGGCATTTTTTTAAAAGAGAAACTGAAATCATTGAGTTGATCAATACGATACATCTTTATTCTTGTTAAGAAAGGGAAAATGCCAGAACATATTTACCTGCAAGAAACGTGTTTCACATTTCTTATGAATCTGCTCAGCATAGGCTTAGGCTCAGTTTTCTATTAAAAGATAAACTCCCTTTCCTTGGAACTAATACTAGCCATACCAATGTACTCCAGCTGTAAAATGGGTGTTTTTTTTCCTCGGCTATTTTTCTAAATGGAGATGCTGGGGAACTTGAACTTTGTGAACTCTGATATGAACTGACCTATATCTCATAGACTAATGTGCAGATTGGAGCAAAATTAATTCTTCAAAATCAACCTTCTACCAATTTTGTTAACCAGTTTTTTCCCCATAAGAACATGGTTTAGGATAAAAAGCATTAGACATGTATATTTTGGGAGATACCACATTTCAGAATGCCTATTATATAAGAAAATATTGCAAAATTATGTATTTAAATATACATTTTAAAATTTCATGAATTTAAGAATCATGTATAGCTGGAACAATGCAAAAGCAGGATTGGATTAATGAATGATGGAAGCAAAACTTATATGCACCAGAAACACATGGACCCATCCGTTCTAGGACCTTTCAAAAAACCCTTAATCTCATTTTACAAATGCCTGCTTCCTTAGTAATATGCTACAAATAGGCATGTTATATGTCTTGCGACTTGATGTGCAGTGTGTGGCTGAGATCCTACACTTGAGTTATCGGCTGTGCATGTGATATATCAAATTCTTGTTCTTTGCTTGTGACATATTGTACTGTTCTGGATTATAGTAGATCAATAACAGTGGCCTACTTTAAACTGTGAGATCACTTTTTGAGTTAAATTCCACCCCGACAGAACATCCATAAAATCCACATAGTTATCCATTTACCCCTTTTAACTTTCTCTAGATTGTGTGTCTGAGATTTGGGATTCTATAATGATGCACAACTTGCATGACATGAGGCTGCAATCCTGTTTCACATTTACGTACCTGGGGATAAGCCCCCTGAACATAACAGACTTTTTTCTGTGTAAATATGCATAGGATTGCACTGTGAGAGCCACTTCAGAAGCAAGGATAATGCTAACATTTGTGTTTAATTAATAACCTTTCTAATCCTACATGTTACCAGTTTTACTGAGTTACTTCCAAATTAGCACACATAGAGTCACCATCAAAGTATGCTACTCATTCTATTGATTGTGCTGGTTTGGTGAACATGTTGAATTTGTTTTATAGTATTCTTCTTCTGGAATAATAATCCTCCAATATGTAAATATAATTCATCCACTCAATAAATCTTCCTAAAATGTAATGAGAAATCATGAGAATGGAACCTGATATAACTGAGACTTTTGAAATGTTGTTTCATTGGTTCCACCACTTCAGCTTTTCCTCCAAAAATTGCTTTGGAAATCGTAAGAAATTTGGATACTCCTCTCTTGAAAGCTGAAATTATCAGGAGTCTAACAAGTGTCCGCAAGCCACAAAGCAGTACCTTAGAACAGGGATGGACAGAAGAGACACTTCTGTATGTTGGCTTCAACTCCCAGAAGCCCCTGCCAGCACAGCAAATGGTCAAGAATGCTGGAAACTTGTCCAAAACACCTGGACATATGCTTTCTGTCTATCATTGCTTCAGATGACTATTGACTGTACACCTGCATTCCATATCATTGTATTTTTTTCAAGTTCTGTGGAAAGGCAAGCAGGCAACAGAAAATGCAGCACGAGGGGTGGAATTAAGAGTTATATACTCAATAATAAATCTGGCATTTTCCATTTTGGCCTCTGACCATTAGTCATGCTGACTGGACTGATGGGAGGTAAAATACGAGATGGGGCAGGCTAATCTAAGAGCATCAAAGAATATAATCTTATGTTTAAGGCTATGATTGTTTAAAGTATGCACCAAGCCAATGATCCTGACTAGCTAGTGCATGCTAGAAGTTGTAGGACTTTTTCGGTGTATACATGCATACGACTGCACCCTACACTGGTTCAGGCAGTGTTGGCTCTTCTTGATATCTGTGACTTCCTGCTTTTTTATTTGTCCCATATCAGAAATACATGCAAAATTTCCATTAAGTGGGCTTTAGTTTACTCTTATTGGGAACAAGTTGATTTCTATCATCTTCCTAGGTCTTCCAACTTGCCCTTTTCTAATCTTGGGCAAGGAACAGACATAGTAGAACCTTATTAATTTTACTGTGTTGATTTTCATTGTGGAACCTATTGAATTTGCAGCATTTAGCAGAGAATAATAATGGAAGGGGGCAGAAAACATTAAATGTTAAACCAAAATAAATTATACAATAAAGAAGGCTCTGAAAGACTAACAGTAGATGCTAACTGTGATCTCCCATTTATAAATCTTCCATGAACACATTATTCCTGCAGTGCAATATGGCTGCCAATTTTCTGTGGCTGCCCCCCACAATACTCCCATAACATTCTGTGAACGATGTGACTGATGGGATCTGATGGATATGACGCGTGTGTGCGCAAACACAGTATGGTCCATCAGTTCTGGTTGTAAGCATTACTCTCGCAATCTTAGCAATTTATTGGAACTAGTTACGGGTTCTGTCTTTCCATACAGTAACATATATGGATCAGGCCTAATTTAAGAATGTTGGCACTCTTCCAGTTCCTACACTTTTCCAAGAAGGGGACATTATGCAAAACATCACCCATTCCTATATATATTGTCATTGTATTTAAAGTGACTGAGATAACACACAGACTCACCATAACCAACTATTGAAAATTAATTCTATACTCTCCTAACCTTTGCAAAAAGTTGTGAACAAAATAACAGAAACTTCACAGATAGTTGCCCTGTTTTCCCATCAGTTACTTTGGCTGCTATCAGTGTCCCAGAAAATCTTAGCTATAAGGACCAGTCCTATATTGACCCAATATGCTCAATACAAAATGAAATGTTTTATGTTGAGGCATATTCAAATTTTCGATTAAGAAATTTAGATACTAATTAATGTCCAGCAAGCTGGCATTTAAATTGACTCAACCCAGAAAATGCAAGGAAAACATTTCTCAATTAAATATATTTTTCTTTGTTTTGGTGTGGTTCTACACTGCCAAAGCTGAACTGAGATAATGTAGTGAATCTGAAGTATGGAAAAAGGATAGGGGATGACATTATTTTGTTCTTGAATATACTTGTGGTTTTGAATGAGGCTATGTGGGCATTATCCACAGGCAACATTCTCTCCCCAAATTGTGGTTCAGTGGAAAAGTTGCACCAGCCCACATGCTCTAATTTCACAAGAGTGCACAATGGACTGGCCACAGTTGCCATCATTCCGAATGGCATCCATGATGGAGGAAATCCCACACATTTTGCCCAGTGGTGTTAATGAACCATGGTCAGTCGTTTGAACAGGGGGAAATCCCTATGTTAGTGGGGCTCCTTAGACATCTCAGCTTTTATTCTGAGCTTGATAGGTGCTCCATGATGGTAAACTTGTTTGGGGGGATGAAGTTCTGCCCCCTAGATAGCTCCTATGATGCTCAGAATAAAAGCTGAAATGTATAAAAAGCTCCTGTGACATGGAAGTCACCAGCTACCTTTTACTTTGAAATGAAGGGAGAGGAAATGGTGAATTTTCCCTCTGTTTCTTTCCTAGTGAGCTTAATGCTGAAGTACTCTAAACATGCTCAGAACAACATCTTCTCCCCATTATTCATAAAAAGCAATAGCATTATTAGCACAGGATTGCCTCTTTTGCCTCTGCTGGGAGGGGAGATCTGTACACTGCATTACTATACACTGCTGCATGGCCACATCCACTTATCAAGCGGCTATGGTGCACTTCCAGATCATTTGGCTTTTAATTACAGACCTTGCGACTGCGGAGTCTCTTTGGCTTTATCAGGCTTAGCTTCTGAGCCACTCCAAGCTGCATTCTTCATGTAACGCTGACCCCTCAAAGGAGGACTCCAACTCCATAATGTTTTAGGCAAGCTGGTTTTCTTAAGAAGTTCCTCCACTTGTTCTCCATGGGCCTTTCTGACAGGTCCATAATTACTTCCATGCCACGGCTAGGTTCCCTTTGTCTTAGGGTCAGTCATACAAAAGGTGTCATCACTGCTGAAGAGTGGCGCAGTCCCTGGATCGCCGCATAAGGCCCCTGCTGAAAGTAATGATGGTACCGAGGCATGTGAAAAGAAGGGAACGTTGGGCCACTACCCTGCATTGAGCTGGCAAGAGCAGAGGGTGTGAGAGGCATTCCCAGACGGCTGTATGGAGGCAGTGATCCTTGGATTGGGTGAGGGATCGGTGTGGCTATAGATGTGGTGCCAGAGCCAAGAGCAGTCAAGGACTGCGGATGCTGGAATCCAGGAAAACTGGATGATGATGAAACCCAGGAACTGAGGGACAAGTTATCGGATGCGGTGAATGCTGATCCTGCAAACAAAGTGAAGAGAGGTGGGGAAAACTGAAGCTTTACTGTACAACAGGGGCACTCTGTGCCCCAAATCATTTCCGCAGAGCCTCAAGAGTCCATTGGTCCCAATGGAACTTTCCCCCAGCAACTGAATTGCCACGCAAAGGACAATTTTCAAGAGGCAATTGCAGCTGAAAAGGGAAAAGTTGGCCCTTTCATGACAAACTTATAAAAATATTCCATTGTGAGGAAGCTGTCTTCTCCTGAGTCACACCATGGCTCCATCTAGCCTGGTCTTATCGGCACTTGGCTGGCAACCATGGCTCTCTAGGCTTGCAAGCAGGATTCTTTCCTTGCCTACCTGCCCTATTCTTTTTCTTGCCAGGGATTGATCCAGGTACCTTCTGCACGCAATGTATGTGCTCTAGAGGAGGCCCTTCCTAAACTTAGCTGTCATACCTGGGGAGTAGAATTTCCAGGGGGATTACAGTTGGGGAGAGAAAGGTAAACTCTTCCTTCCTTGTGCACTCTTCAAAGTTTCCTTCCACATAGCCATTAAGCTTAGGGGAAAAAACCCTTCCACCAACGCCAACAGAAGGATTGGGCCCCACATCTTCTCAGTGCCTAGCAACGCCTCTGCTGTGTTCAACATAAGAGCACTGTGACAGCAACAATGAATGAGGGCAAAAGAAGGGCATCCCCAGAGGTGACTTTCAGGTGGCCATTGTGCATAAAGCTGGCCATAGAAAGAAAATAATGCAACACTGCATCAATGAGCAGTGCCCCTGTGGGATGAGTCCAGATCTATTTTGAGCAACACCATCAAGCCACAATCTCTGGCCAACATCTGTTGGACAGTAATTTGGGATACCTGTTGCATATTGCAAAGTGGCAAACATGGGGTTGCTCAGAAATAAAATCACTGTGTTGGGACATTATTTTAGAGTGGCTTCCAAAATTGCTTGCCCTGCTGAACACACACATCTGTTTGCTTCTGTTGTGAGTAGGAAAACTCAGAGGTAGAGAGCAGCCAAATTCAGGGATCTTTATAATGTTGAAAGTATCAGACAAGTGAAACTAGGAGATGGCTTCAGAAATTTAGTAATTTCCACATCGGTCTCAGATCTGTCCATTTTGACATTACAAGGACATGTATCTCTGACTACTTCATCTTACCCCTTACAAGCTTTTTTAAAATACATATCTTCAAGAACAGGAGAAAGTAAGAAAAGCAGCTCTAGGACTCTGCTATTACAACAAAGGTCAGCTGAGGAGACCTCTGGGTACTGATGTGCCATGCAGGTATTATCAGAGCGTAGCAGCACCCACATGCCTTCCAAGGAGACATCTGTAGAGAAGATCTAATCCATGCTGTGCAAGCTCAGAAGGCAGTCTCCATATGTTGCTACTGCTGGGTGGTGCCTCCGTGTTCTCTTGGCACTATGGATACTACTATGCACAGATACTCCGTGCAGGCCTATGCCTTCATTCGTTCAGGGGTTGGAAAAAGTAGCATTAGGTTAGGGGTGCTGAACTCCTTTCAGCCCCATATTTCATTTCAGAGAAGCCCTGTGGTGACACATTCCAGTGATGTCTGGGGCTGAAGGGAAAAGCAGGTGAGGACAAGGGCAAAGGGACAAGAACAAACACCAAAAATATTTTGGTTTAAAGCCCTTGCTGTCAGTAACTAAAGGAGCTGTGTTAACCTTTCAAAATGTGTATGGGGGGAAACACCCAAGCTGGGAAGCTACAAAATGACCAGTGGCTATGGGCTACTCCGGAGGCCAGATTGGAACCCAAGGAGACCAATATTGCCCCTGGGCCTCAGCTTCAGCATCCTTCTATGAGATAATGTTCTGGCAGCATTTTTGTTTATGTTAGGCTTGTATGTAAGCACTTACACAGTTTTACATGGGCAAAAGAGGGAGATGGTTGCGGATGGGCTCACGGAACTGCAAAGCAAACTGCGTGGATTGGCTGAGGAAGGATGGCATGTTCCCTCACTTCTCTACCTATAGACCCTCAACAGGCTGCCAGGGGATGGAAGTCCCCTCTACTGTGCTCAGTGTACATCTCGGGTGATTGGCTAGAAGAGGGGCAGAGTTCCCCATGACTCCCCCAACCATATATCCCCTGACCAGGCCAGCAATATTTATTATTCTTTATTTTTTGCAGGTTAGCAATTCCTGTGAGTTAATCTACAAGGCTGGCCTGCCTACTGAGAGGCAGTAACTAGGCTCCATGACACATGCCAAACCAGAGTCAGAATGACACAGGAACTGCATGGAAGAAAGTAAAACTTCTTTTTGCCAAGGACATTCTCTCCAAATTCTGGGTTCGTTTTCAAGCATCAAGGCAAGAGCTCCATAAGCTGCTCCTCACATAGGAGCTCTTGCCTTGATGCTTGAAAACAAACCCAGTATGTGGGGAGGCATGAAATTTTGTTCTCTCTTTACCTCTGCTTTGTGATGCTTGGTTCTCATCTCCAAGTACTTCATCTTCTCCTCCATAGGTTCTGATGGGGGAGCGTGCATAGGAATGCTTTTGGATAAGGCTCTCCACACTTTCCCTGTGAACAGACAATATGCGGCATCACTAACAGCCTGAAATCTAGCTATATATTGATTTAAATCACACACACAGTTCTCATGTGATTGGTATAGAATAGCAAATGCTTGGACCCCTTTGAAGCAATGGTACTTACTAATAGCTTCTGCAGAAACTCCAGCAACACCAATCAGCTCCAGCTAAAGAATCATGCTATGTGATAGTCTGTAAAATGGCTAGAATGACACGATAGCCAGATCCACCCCATCTGCATCCCACAATGTGAAAATCATAATGTGTTTTTAGTTTGGAATATGTATCTATGCTTTCAAGGCAATATATGACAAGCCAGATAGCAACTTCTTATGAGGCTTGCTGAGGGCAGATGGCCAGGCATAAAAGTATTCTGCAAGTTTCTTAATGTTTTCTTTGTGCCTCCAACCTTGTATCACTTTTAGCCACTACATATTATTTATGAAGGGGAACAAAAGGCATGGGCACATGACTCTATCCAGCTACTTTTAATTTATACTAAAATCACAGTAATTATTACTAAATTTCCATCAACACATTAATTAGTATAAGCAAACTTTATGCGAATCTTCACCCTCTGTTGTCCATTCTTTGGTGATGCAATCCCTTTTTTTGGTGACAGATCTGTGCTGAAAACACCCTTCCTTCACACCCCAGCTGATTTTGCAGGAGGGCAGGGAGCTCCTGGAAGCAAGGCTTCCCTTCTCCAGGGGAATTTTCTTACCCAAATAGGCTCTTATGGGGAAAAATGTTCTTTAATATATGCAGATCTGAGATCATTAAAGGTTTTCTAGGTGAAGGGAAAGGGCCTGTGCTTGGCTTCCTGGAATGGAATACTGCCTGAATAATGGGAACCAACCCTCTTCACTAACACAGCTTTTAAGGGCAGTAGTGAGGCTGAGCTATTTAGTGACTTAACCTATTTAGAAGCAAAGCCATTTTATCTAGCAAGATTCCCCAAAGACACCAATCTGATCTGCTGCACTTCCAAATCAGCTGCCTGCTTCTGGTCTCATTGACAATCCAGTTAACTGAAGATGTTTAAACCAAGCTTTTGGCATAGATCCCTTCTGAACTCGCCTTCTGGTAACTCCAGCTAGCTGAAAATGCTTTGCATTTCAGCAGCAAATGCAGCATAAAAAAAGGGTATGGGGAAATACCCAACAGGATAATGAATAATCTCAGTGTCCCCACCCCACTTCATGCGCACGCACACACACACACAACCTAGTCATACTGAAGGACTGACCATTGCTCTGTCCTTGGAATATCACTGGTATCATTACATATGCGAGCCTCTTGGAAAAAAATGTCTCTGGGTAAGATGCTGGGGCAGTGTGGGGAGAATCTTATCAAAGTAATTTACTTGCAGGGAGTGGAAGTGGACAGAAAGCAATGGCAGTTGCTACTGAAAGGATGGGGTAATTGAATTATTGCCTTTTAAGTGATTGAAGACAGTGGCCATACCGGAGTTATCTCCCAGAAGATCTTACAAGGGAAGGAGGAAAAAGTGTGTGTGCATGTGTGACAGAGAGAAATGGATTTGACTGTTCCCCCCCACCCCCTTTCTAGCAAAAGGAGAAATGTAACCCCCTCCTCTCTCTCTCTCTCTCTCTCTCTCTCTCACACACACACACACACACTTATTTTGAGGAAATGAACAAGATTAAGAGCAGTGGAAAATGATAAATTATATTGGCCAAAGGCATTAGGGTTCATCAGTCTGAGCAATTTGTATCCCTGACATCAGGCCTACTGTAACCAGCCGAACCTTGGGAAGGGCCAGGGTGGGATGGGAAGCACACCCAGGAGATTTTCTTAACAGCTTAGGTGACAGGTATGAAACCCCTGTGCTGATATCTAGTGCCTGTTTGCTACTTGTGCTTGGGATGACCATTCTAACAAAGGAATAGGAGATGCACCAGAAAATGCCATCCTCCTATGCTGTTCTCTTGGGTGTAAATTGGCAGAGATCAATATCCTCCAGTCCTCTGTTTGCTGGTCTCTAGTGCTAACCAAGCATTTTGCTACACAAGGCCCTTCCATTTCGGTTAAGACAGGGATACAAAATCCTTTTGGTGTAAAGCCTGAAGGACTTTTTAGAGATGCTCTTAAGGGCCACATTTCAGTATTGTGTAAAGCTGAAAGTAAAAGAGGTCAAGGCCAAAGTGCCAAAAATAGCAGCCTATTTCAGTTGAAAGCTATTCCTCCAGGTAACCAAGCCTTAGAAGAGGCACTTCAAACAGGGGAAACACTAGACAAAAGCTGGGAAACCAGCACATCTTTAGCAGCCAGGAGAAAGGGCCACTGTGAGCTGGCCTGGGAACCCCAGAATGCTGGAGTGGGATCCCACACCTGAATGTCTGCTGGACAGCAAGCTGTATAGGAGCAGGCAGTTTGGGAAAAAAGGCTGGGGCTATTTGGAAATCCCCAAAGGCTGGTGTGGGACCCCAAGTGGGTCAGTTTTGGCCTTCATTTCAATACTCCTGCTCTGCATGCAGCTGAAGAGCAGGTACAAACAGCCAAGGTTGTCCATGCATCACCTCAGCTCTTTACTTGGAAACAGGGACAATATGCAGCCTCCCTCTCAGAGAGTTCATTAGAACACTTACTTAATATTGATTTATTTATTGGATTTGTATGCCACCCCATAGCCGAAAGCTCTCTTAGACCCTATTTCTAAGTAGAAGCTTTACCACCACTTTTTAGTAAAGCAAAGTTTCCTCTCTGATGTGTCTGGCCAAGAGCTTAAGCGGCAAGATCCAGTTATAACAAGCAGCCATGGGTTTTTTTTTTTTCATAAGCAGATGCAGATAATTTTATAAATTACCAGCAGACCAATCAATATATTTCCTATTACAATTCCACCCCATAAAAATATGTCAATGGCAATTGGAGGCAGAAATTCAATTTGGGGTGTTTTTATACAGCACAAATGGACATTTTTCAAAAATGATACATATTGAGCTGGTCCTTTTGAGAATAATTATGCGACTCTGTTTTAATCTTAGAAAAGCTCTGAGTCTGTTTATAGTCAGATATTCATTGCCTTGACACTCACATCCATTTTTCTCAAAGGACAGACTTTTGAAATATGGTACTAAGAGTCATAGTTTCTGATCCAGAGCTCTGTGCATGTGTTCCTGTGTAAATATGGCACAGTCCCTCCTCTGAAATGACTTGAGATGCCTTTGCAGGGAGAGGAGCTCCATACATACCTTGTGGCTTCCTGACCCTATAGTATGCAATGTGGCCTCGAAGTATGCAACTACATTTATTTGATTCATATCCCTCCATTTTTCATACACTCAAAGCAGCTTACATCAGACTCCTCCTGCTTTCCATCTTATCCCCACAACAACCCTGTGAGGTAGGTCAGGCTGAGTCTGTGACTGGCCCAAAGTCACCCAGCTGGCTCCATGGCCAAGCACTTAGAGCACAGCTAAGCACTTACACTAATTTCAGTGGCGGGTGGGCCTGTGTGTCCACTGATGAGGTTTTCAAATTCCCTCGGGCAAGGCCCATTGTCCCCAGCTGCTGTCTCATCACTCCTCCCCTTTGCTTGCTATACCACAGAGCACAAGCAGGCCGGGGCATCTAGCCCCCGCCCCCAGCACCCCCACCGTTCACCTGCCACAGGAGAGACAATGGTGAAGAGGTGGGGCATGTATGGGAGACTCTTGTCAATGGGTCCTCACCAGAGTGTGGGTCTTTGGCAAGTGCCCCACCATGCCTGCTCTTGATGGACGCTGGCCCTGATATTCAACACAACATTGTCTGGTATGCAAATTAAAACAAAATAAGGAGAGACTCAAAGCCAGGGAACAAGCAACAGGCCCGTGTGCTGGAAAGATAAGCAGGAGTGTTTGGAGACCTGGTTCTGTATCATAGCCAGACGCAGGAGTCACAAACTTTTTCCCAGTGCTGCCAGCTGGCCACCCATGCAGTAAACAAAATTCTACTCCTCAATTATTTTCCGGGTTGTTTTTTAAAGGTAATTTTAATGAAAGGAATATTAATGAGGGAAATGGATACATCTTGCAAATCTGATTTGCATGACAAAGGAGAAAACACAAGCAGGATATGGAAAGTATAAATGGCAGTTATCAGTTTGAAGGGCTTCTTTAGCCTTGCATTTCAAAGGCTTGCTTTTCATGTAGTTGCCTCTTGGCATATTTGGAAAGATGCCCGGATTGCAAAAAGCATCAGATATGAGTCACCTACATGGGCTCAGAAGAAAGCACAAAAATAAATTCACTCATGGCAGAAAAAGAAACAAATGAAAGATAAAAAGACTTTGATGATTAACTGAAACCTCTAATACAAAAACAAACCATTCTGCCATCAAGAAGAGCTCTCCCCCCTCCCCCTCCTTCCCTCCCTCTCACACACACACAGACACATGCACACAAAACAACCCAAGTCAGGTCTGTGTGGCACAATCTCACACAGCTGCAGCATATCTGTAAATATCAGAAGCTAGGAGCCAGAAAAAGCAGGTATCGTTTTGCATAAAATGTGCATGTGAGCATTTATACATAGAGTTGCAAATTTAGACACCATTTGTTATAATTTAAATGAAGATGCAGCACATTTCATCAGATTGTGGAAAAGTGTAGCCGGGTGGCCTGTTCTGTCTCCTGTTAGGTTGTTGTTGAAGTGCAGCTTCAAGGCCCAGCTCTTCCTTCTAAGCATTCTTGGAAAAGGACTTGGACTGGGCAATTCTTCAAACAGGAAGTTTTCAGAACAGAGGACAGTCCTCTGGTAGCCCATCACACAGAGGCCTGTCCTCTATAAAAAAAAGTATGCGGCCACCCTAGCCACTTCGGGAAACATCTTTCCTATCTAATGACTGGCAAACACACTACAGTGCCAGAGGATTGCCTTCCTGTTAAATGGCTTCCCTGCTTCAGATGCATGTGAAGCTCCTGTGTGCTACACGAATCCTTCCTTCATTCTTATCCAGACATAATCCTGCAGCAAACCTTGTCCATTGGGTCTTGGCTATTAGACAGAGTTGTAGAGTTGCCAGCTGGACCATGCTGGATGTTGTAGGCCTTTTTTCTGCCTATGCATGCCCAGGATTGCTCCTAAGAGAGCTGTATTCAGTTCCTGAGCATGGTTTCCCCTAAGATAAGAAGTGCAGAACATCTGTGCCTGGAATTTACTCAGAGAGGGAAGCCAGTTAATTTTGTGCCCAAATCCAACACAGCACTGATGCAGATCCATATTACTGATGCACAGCCAATATTGAAACTGAGCTGCATGTGGGAATTGTCAAGCCATATACAGAAAAGCTGTAGTTCTCATCTACATGCCAAAAAACAAAAGAGAAGTAAATTTGGAAAGGCTACCTTCTACAAAGGTAAACTAGGATGCCACACAGACTCTTTAGGATGCACTGTCTCCATACTGCTGATTCTGCAATTTACTGTAATACGACCCCAAATATTTGACCATTCAGAGTAAAAATATTAAGTGTTGCCTTCATTCTGATTTGGCTTTATGCCATTACTGTCCTGCTTACATGATCCCTGATTGAAAGGAATTGCCTGAAGAAGAAACCTAGTTGTGTGTGTGTGCTTAGAAACACTGAATCTTCAAACTGGAGAAAGAAGCAACTGCAAACAGCATATAAAAAAGTAACCTTGGCATGGGTGGATCATGAAAGTTTGCCAACTAACTCCCCTTTTGAGGGCTGAACAATTTTGTGGGCAACAGGTTGGAACAACCTGTGTAGAATTTTTCTCTAAAATGAAAACAGGAGACCTGGTACTATGTTGTGAAAATATTGAGAGTCTCGGGGACTCTCCTGCAGTAAAGCAATTTAGAGGAAGCAGTGACTATGCACTGTATTTGCATCCAACGCGATGGCCTATTGGACTTTGCAATTAATGCTTAAGTCTGCCTTTTTCCTCCTCCCTTCCAGCCCTTTCCTTTTGCATCATGAGATGATGCATTCCGCCAGAAAGCATTGCTGTTAAAACTTGTAGTGAGACACACATCACCTGAGCCAGCTGAAACACTACCTAGCACCTAATATAGCAAAGTTATATAATGAGGGAAAATGTATACAGTTCCCCAAAAGAAGAGATACTTTCCTGGAAGCCATCTAAGCTCATCTTTTAAACCAAAATGCTCATCTGCTAAGTTATACTGGTGAAAAACTCTGTTCACGCTCAGGAGCACTTCCATTTTTATTATTTACTTTTATTATTCCTTAATGTGCTTTAAGTCCGAGTCCTGCTACTTGGACTTAAAGTTTCTGGAGTTGGGCCCTGCCTGCTCAAAGTCTCTACAGAGAGCATAAATCTGAAATGGAAGATTTGAAATTGTTAGAGTCATGTATTTATAAAACCATATTCAATTAGGCTAGAAAAGTGCAATGTCTGTCATCATGTCATAAAAAGATGTGTGTTTCTCTCAGATCGACTGTAAGGAACCCTGGCCTGTATTGCTGCAGATAGAAGCTGTTTTCAATCAGTTACAAGGAGCAATCCAATTACTAGATGGTTTAGTGCAGTAACTGACTCCAGCCTAATGTAATTTCTTTAGGTCTCTAAAGATCAATTGATCTGATTTGCTTCCCTCCCTAAAGGCTAGTTAGGAAAAAAAGCAGACTTAAATATCTGGAAATTAAATCCAAAGCTTCGTCCCACATTCACACTATTTAGGTCAACCCAAAGACTCACAACGTGCGATGAATAGCAGTTCTCTTGGATGCGCTGCTGAACAGTACAGGAGACTGCGCTAATGTCCCAAATCGTTCGTAGGCAAAATTGGGACTGCCTTAGGAAACCCATTCACAAAACATTATCTGATTATAAGGCTAATCAAATATCCACCTCTCCAGAAGGTGCAAATACGAACCAGCAAACTTTCTGTGCCAAGGCATGTAAATGGAACCGATAATATTATTTGTTTCTAGAGGTGGCATTTGAGACTCTATTAACTTTGTAAGTTGCCTTCAAGGTCTGTCATTCAATGAAATTATTGGAATTGTGCAGTGTGTGGCTTTCAGTGCATATAAATAATCATTAGAAAAGAGACCCTTTCTGTTATTTCCCATCAACTAGGCGGATTTACCTTTGTGTCAAAATCCCTTTTTTATCCTGATAGCTGGCACAACTTAATTTTCTAATTTCTGGAATCTCTAGGGAGTTTTACAACTTGTCTTCCATAGGCTACTGTTCACAGCACAATACTGGGATAAAACTGCATTTTCACAGAAAAAGTGTAACTGTCCAGTTAAGTTAACATCCCCTCAAACGTTGTGAACCAGCAACATTTCCTATTCTGGGCACTTTTTAGGGGGACCATGTGCCCTCTTTTATAGAGGACAGTCCTGCATTTGAAGATCTGTAAAGGACTGCCCTTTATTTTGAAGTCATCTTCTCTTCGAAAGACTATCCAGTCCAAGTCCAGTTTAAAGATAAGAAACCACCAGAAGGAAGAGCTAGGCCTGAAAACTGCCCACCAACTGTACCTGGACAGCAGACTGAATAAAGTACCTTGGCCACTGCATTTCCCATGATGGTGCCATGTATTTTTATTTAAATTAGATTAATTCTTCAAGTACATTTATACATACAAATTAGCATCCTGATAACTATAGCCAAGAAAAAGGTACCAATAAACACATTGTAATTAAAATGGTCCAGGCTCCAACCCTGTGTTTTTTGATAGATGGCCTTTGCTCCTGCTGCATCTTGGAGGAAGAGGGAAGGAGGCTGGGGAGGCATTAGGATAGTTCATGTCCTGGTCTCTCCAGTCCCTTCCCATTCTCATCCACCAAAATAGCCCATTCTCCTCCTCTCCAAGGTTGCTTTCCTGACCTCAGAGAATAGCCAGTGTGGATCCTCCCATGCTAGCTGTGAGAAGGCAGAGGAAAGAGTTAGAAACCCAATTCCCAACTCTAAGGTGCTGTCTCCAACCTCAGATCAGAGAGGCTAAAATATCCTGGAGCCCCTGAGAAGCTATACAGGAGTCATAGGATTGCTCTCTAAAAACACAATTAAAAATGATCCATGTGCGGCTCCAAACATATTAGTGGTTTGGGCTTTAAACATACCTGAGGATGGAGCACTTCTTGGATAGTGCTCCTATGAAAAAGCTTACATCAAGAAGAAGGCCAGGCCAGGTGTAATCCAAACATTCAGCAAAAAGTCTGTAGTGCAGATTTCTCCCTGAAAATTGCCCCTATGTGTGTAGACTCTGCTTCATCCTGACTGCCAGACTGTAGTTTTTGCAAGCCCAGTAAACACCACCTGGCATCTGGATTTCCAGCAAAAGATTTTCCTGCCCTACCTGGAGATGCTGGTGTTCAACCTGTAACCCTCTATGTGCCAGACAGGTGCTCTACTGCCGAGCCACAACCCCCTCTAAATATTTATCACTCCCACTTTGCCATTGAATATTTAACTTGGCTTGGACCAAAGAGATATGAACAGTGAGAACAGACATGATAAAGGCTTAAATTAGCACCAGAGATAAAAGGCAAAACACTGAAATTCTGCCGACATCTGCTTTTTACCAAGTCATGCCTCTGTATATTTGAAGGTCCTGAACCAACCAATTTGAAAAACCAGCAGAGGAAGATGAGTATAATTAGCATCATCTGAAGGAGTAGTTAAAGCTTAAAGTAACCTCCATCTTCAAACTGTTTATAAAGAAGCCAAAATCCTCTTCAGTGCAACATAACCATCCAAGGCACAGCTTTGTAGGGGCTGAAAAAGGTACATTTTATCCTTGTTTTCCCTCCCGTTATCTTAACTGAACAAAAAGTTCACAGAAGGTCTCCATTACCTCTCAATATCAGTGAGTCTGGAAGAGTCCCTGAATCCTTTTGCAAAAGGGTTGCTGTCAATTTTCAGCTTGGTTATCTAGAAACAAAGAAGACTTGTAAGTGTTACAGCACACAAACCATGATGCAATGAAGTCATCTGTACCAAGATCCACACTGGGCTTCCACAGAATTTATATAATCTCAGAGTGGTTTGTCAGTTTCTATTCGTGCTAAAAATGTAATGGTATTTGACCACCACCATCGGCTTCAAGGCTCCAGAACTGCAGCTGCTGTCATAAAGGGCTGGATCCAATCCTTCAAACAGACTCACTGAAATTAGGGGGACTTAGTGAGTCTACTCTAAGAATGGCTATGTCTGGATACAACCCTCAATTGCTCTTAAAACAAATCCTCAAGCAACTACTACCAAAAGGGCTTCTGAGGAATCATCTTGCCTGAAGGAGACTTAAATGCTTGTTCCCTGTCTTAAAAACCCAAAGAATAAACAACAAGGGCATCAAAACAGAACATTTGTTATAGCAGGCAGTGTAGTGTATTGGTTAGAATATTAAACTGAGACTTGAGAGATCCTGGTTCTAGGCTTACTCAGCCATGCAGCAAGCTGGGCAACTTTGAGCCAGTCACTGCCCATCAGGCTAACCTACCTCACAGGGTTGTTTTGGGGGATAAAAGGGCAGAGGAGGTTCATGGGTCTTGCAAAAGGAAAAATGAGGAAGATAAATGTAATAATAAATAATGTAATTTAAAAAAAACTCAAGGGTTATCGGAAAGTCTAACCCAATGCTTTCTTGAAGAGCTAAGCTTTCACATACCACCCAAAACAATACAGTGCTGTCTTGGGAGCACAAGATGGAAGCAGGAGTAGAATTAAAAAGGAAAAGAAGAGGCTGAAGGAATGAGAAAAGCCTCACTCAGAAGGTGAATAGCTACAGGGAAACCTAAGTCTGGTCCAATCTGGGATAGGCATATTCCTGTCCATCAGGGCAACTGAGGGTGCAGTCCAATGTATATTTGAGCAGAACTGGCTGGGGCATGCTGAAAACTATAAGCCTTCATCTAAACATGAACAGGATTGCATCCTGCATCAATCAACATCATCATGCTGTTTTTCCTCCTCTCTCCCTGTGCTTTTTCCTTGTGTCATGTGTCTTTCAGATTGTAAATTTAAGAGCAGGGACTGATATTTATAAGCTTATTCGGGAAATCTGTCCAGCAGCGTAACAAAGCTTTAAATAAAAAATAATAGATCAGTTCTAACGCGGCAGAAAAAGAAGTATTGCTGACCAAGAATCCCTATTCATTTCTTGGGGGAAATTAAAGCTGCCCAGTTTTCTTCTTAGAGCGATATTCAATTTGATGTCAGGATAAGAAGCAGTATTCAGCTAGCATTGTCAGATAATATTGCCATCATTTTTATGATACCCCAGTAAAAGAAAAAAAAGATATACATTTATCTTATACCAGTTCCCAAATGAATCATAAGAACATCTCCAAGAAAGCTAGCTAAAATGAAAGTTGACCTACAATTCAACTCTCTTGCAAGGGCTTGACTGTTTTAAACAAATGCATGACCTTTAAATCTTAAATGTGAGATAGTTTGTTGAAAGTGTAATGTATTTAGCCATTATCTAATAACCTGCAGAAATGTAATCATCTCCCTTAAAACCAGCACTGAAAGAAATGGTAAAAAATAAGAGCGGTTCCATTTTCATTAGTCATACCTAATACGACAGCATCCTTCTTGAGAATTTCTAGAGAAGTTCCAAGAGGAAATTCAGCAGGATTTACAGGACGTGCTTGAAAATCAAACTAGAGCTCTCTAAAACAGCTTTATTCAGGCAAACACCAATTCTTTCAGCAAGGCCGTGGCTCAGTCACAAATTCAGAAATTAGCGTGACCCATAGCACCAGTAAACACACAGCCACTGGCCAGATATAGTTTATGTTTAATTGAAGCAATGTATGGATATACACTGGCAACTTTCATACAGTTGCTTCCTTTAGAATATTGCAAAAACCCAGAGTATCTTGAACTCAGAGTAAAATATATTTGTCCCTCTCCATAAAGGGCAATCCAGATGTGAAAACAGAGTTCTGCTTTGGTACCAGCACCATCCAGGTGTAATCCATGTGCCTAAAAGGAACAGCTCTTCCCCAGGGCCCTCCTGGTCCAATGGTGGCTTAATTGATATATTTAAATATGTATATTATGGGTTTATTAGCATAATATTACATTTATATCCCACCTTTCTTCCTCTTGCAAGGAACCCAGGGCAGCTTACAAGGCTCTCCACACAACAACCCTGTGAGGTAAGTCAGGCTGAGAGTCCCTGACTAGCCCAAAGTCACCTAGTGAGCTTCAGGGATGAATGAGGGCTCAATCCCGGATTGCCTGCATCCACAGGCTTAACAGATTGAGCCATTGTTACATATAAGAATTGAAAAATATATTGTAACACATACTGTTCGCTGACTAAAGATGCAATCCTATGTTTGTTTAGACAGAAAAGGTCCTACAAATTGCAGATTCTCCAGAAAACAAGCGTATAGGATTTTTTTCTGCCTAACATGCATAGGATTATGAGACAGCAATCTGATTGATGGCTCCAATGGTGTGTCACAGGATACTGAAGAGTTTTCCATCGTAGTCAGAGCTATGGCCTCAGACAGAACCCTTCATTCAGATTGTCAATCCTCCTGGCCATTGCGGAAAGCTCTAGAAAGCTCAGTGTTGTGACCTCAAAAGGTCTGGAGGGAAGAAGGGGGCATGCCAACTGGCAGGGCTCAGGTGAGAGGGAATACCTGGATCTACTGGGCTCAGGTGAGAAGGAAGGCTTGGATCTACTAGATCCACACACCTGACAGCCTCCGTTCCCTCCCTCCCACAGCCAGGTGGATGAACTGGATGGACTCAAAGGCTCAACTAGCTCACAGTGTAACAAAAGGGGATGAAGAGGTGTCTCCTGCCCAGCATCCCTCTTGATGAACGACCTCACAGCCTTACATCAAATAAGCATCAGTCCTTTCAGGTTATGTTCTAAGATGCCAGTTTGATAACAGGAGCAAACCTCACTGCCCTTAATGCAACTTCCTTAAGAGCAGAGATGGATAAGATTGTGCAATCAGATTTCTTTTAACTGGCCTAGTAGGGTCTGATTCCAGGAAGTCTCTTCAGCCTATTCCCTCCACCCACCCTGTCCTTGCTATTGACCCTGCAGTAGCTATGCACAGCCATAGACACCTACCCACAATGCATTGCCACACACAAGGCATTTTGGATCTCAAACAGTCAAGTTAAGTGCAGGGTTTCTATTGAACATTTGGGTTTGTTTTTAAATAAGTAGTTATCTATTCTAAATCTTTTGGAAAGGCACCAAATTTTAGTCATCCAAATAAATGAGCACATTGGTATGGTATTTGCTTCAACTTTATCCAGTTTGGAGAATCAAGCTAGAAGTCAATCTGAAATTTTGGGCAGGGATGCATTCTGGCCATGGATTAGCCACCCTGGACTTCAGCTCCCATCAACCTCATCCAGTGTGGCCAATCTTATGGAAAGCTGGGTCTGCAACAGCTGCAGGGTGCCAATTTGTAGAAGACTGCCCTCGAAGGAGCCCAGACAAGTTCCAGAATGCCCCTCGTCCTTGTCCCGGCCTTTGCCTGCCCCAGCAACCCAGCCATAGGGTTAGCAGAGGCCAGCAAGATGCCTGGGCTGTAGGCAGACCCCACGTCCAGCCCCAGCTGAATCCTGTGCTCTGCTCCACTGCTTAATGAGACAGCTCAGACGAAGGTGTTGGGAAAGGCTGCTTCTTTCAAATATAAAGTGGTGGTCTTGCGAGTCTCCAATAACACCTCCCCAAATGGCTGGGATGGAAGCACTTCACCCAGGATCGGGAAGGGTTCTTTCTGACATGGCTTAGGCAGTATGTCAGGAAGCTATTTTGAGATTTTACAAAACAAAGTTGGAGGAGGGGGCAGGGCAGAGGCAAGACTCTCCATTCCAAATCTGGCTCAGAAGTGCTCCAAAGGGACCCCAATGTAAAGAAAAGCCTGGCTCCAGAGAAGACTATGTGTTCTGTAAAACTGCTTTCCCCAAGCTGATTTTAAGAAACCAGCAAAATGTCAAGCAAGCAAACAATATGACTTCCAAACCTGCGATGAAAAATGGCATTGTCCATAATGTTATAAGTAAATGAAGAAAGCACTAATTTCACAATCTGATATTTAATCTATTGAGCAGCATTCCTTAACCTGGTGTCCTTCAGATGTGTTGGACTACAAACCCCAGCATCCCCAGCTAACTGTGGCCAATTTTGTCATCCCAGACTCTCTTCCCTGCCCCCAGCATGCCTGTCATTCTTACACACACAAAATATTACTTTTGGTGCACATATGAGCAAACTGAAGCCCCTCAGGTACTGTTGGGACTATAAACACATCATCCTTGATCACTGACCATGCTGGCTGGGGCTCGTGAGAATTGGAGTTCAACAACCCTTGGAAGACCACACACTACATTAGAACAGAGTGGGGAAATAGCTTACAAAAGGCACACACAAGCTTGCCATGTATCATGCCAGGAAATATTTATTGGCTGCAGTGAGCCCATGCAGAGAAGGAGCTGCCTGCTGTGCCTCTGCATGATTCCCTGGCCTTCTTGACATCTATCCTTGCATTTCGGCATCAGGTCACTTTCTTCTTCTGTTAAGCTGGAGGAGAATTTCTCACCCTCATGGGAGTCTGCCCCCTGCAACTCAGAGTCATTGCTGCGAACGATGCCCTTCCAGTCAGGAAGCACAACCAGACCAGGCCCTCATGCAGAAACACTTTGGATGGCCTCTGAGGGCAGGTTACTTTTCCTTTAATAAGCACTTAAAAGCAGATGCTGTTCGACTGCAACTCCTGTCAGCCTGACCAATAGAGCCAGTGGTGGGGGATTATGGGAGTTGCAGTCTGTCAATGGATATGAAGTTCTGAGGCTGTATGCTACCTCTAGTATGAAAGCCAGTATGCCTATGCGCATCAGCTGTGCTGTAGCACTGGTTGTGGGTTTCCCACAGACACCTGGCTGGCCCCCATGGGGACAGAATGCTGGACTAGAGGGTCTGATTCAGCATGACCCCTTTTTAGTACAAGAACTTCTCCCATAGGCTCCCTACCCTTGCTTTAGAAGAATACAAGTGAGGCCTGCAACAAAATTTGAGTCTGAAGAACCGCGATTCAAGGCTCCAGCCATGCCTCTTTCTGAGATGCTCTGTTCCATCCCCACCAGTTTTCCATTCCCAAACATTCAGCTAGCATTCTGTGCCCTCACTAAGCGGTTTTGTGGCTGCCTTGCACCAAGGCTTGTCCCCGCCCCACCAACACATCTTTTGGTGGAACTTCCACAACACATGAAAACAAAAAGTTGGGAGTGAGGACTTTTTGTACTTTATTTTGCCATTCTGGTGCATCTTCGGATCTGCCGACACTTCCTGTGTCTCAGGGCCGCCTAAACAGCATTATGGACCCCGAGCAAAGCATGTACTGGGGCCCCTACGACAACTACAACTACTGTTAATTTGGGAAGTTTTCCGATTTTCCAAGGGTTAACATACACAGATTAGTATGGGGCCCACAGGCAAGTGCCCATCAGGCCCATGCGTTAAGACGGCCCTGCTGTGTCTGCGTTCTGGTGTCATTATAGCTACATAATGACTGGGACTTGAAGAATAGATCTTTCTATCATAACCTGATCCACAGAAGAGGGGGAGAGTCACTCCCCAGCAGACAGTTGATAGATGCATCAGCTGTAAAAAAAAAATAATAAATTGCCTGCTGGTGGTGGGGGGGTGACTATCCCCCTCAGCTTCCCCAAATCCAGGCCTGCTCACTATTAACATATAGGCTCAGCCTCAAACAAACTGAGCCAAAGGCTTACTTTTGTACACTCATTCATGCCCTTCCCAGTCCTGTCACTTCCTGGGCTACAGCATTGTGGCAGGTAAGGGACTATTTTCTGCCTAAACATATATAGGATTGCTCCTTACATGGACCGATACAAAAGGTAAGAGGGCCAAGCACTTCTGCCCCCACTCCTAGCCTGCCAGTAATTCAAGTGCCCAAATCAGCCCTTCTATTCACATTTCACCTCTGTAGCAGTTATGAAAGGACGGTTGGACAAGAGCAACAAGAATACCCCAAAACACTCACCAGTTGGTTTTGGTAGGCAGTGACAGCAGTAAATACCGTCTCTGGAAAGATGAAGGTCCGAAATTCTTCGGATTTCAAGTTCAGCAAGGAAGCTGTATGGTCTTTCTTCTTGATGATGTGCACCCTGGGCTGATATTTGTGCATTGAGTTCAAGATTATCTAGAGAAAAGAGGGAAACAACAGTCAGTGCTCAGATTCCATCAGCAGTAGCCCCTTCAACGGTTGGCGTAACCTTGGTTGCTTTCGGAGGCTTTGTCAAGCAGCTTCTTGCGGCAAGCAGTTCAGCTCTTCCACAGGCCACCCCTAACGCGTGATACCCAATACACCAAGGAAGTCATCCACCAGAGACATCGTATCTTTCAGCAGCATTTTACAGGATTCTAGAGGAACTCTACCCTGCCCCTGCGGGTCTTTGAACTGAGATTGGATCTATACATCAGCAGAACAAAAGTATTGTAGCCTGCCCCATGTCAGACTGCAAGGAGACCTGAACACCATATTTGGACACTCCCTGGATTACAAAAAAAAGGCCAGATTAAAAAAAAAAAGCAAGCTGGAGTAAAACATTTCAGCCTTGTTGCCTGGGGATGCGTAGAGGAGGATTGCACCTGTGTTTTAAGGTAAGTATTCAAAATAGGACCCTCTATCTGCAAGCAAAGTGGTCCAATGCCTTCTGCCTCCTCATCCAGCTGGTTGTGTAGATCAAGTCATTCGATAGCGGCAGTGACGGGGTAGGCACTGGGCCCACAGTGCAGGAGGGGTCCACTGACGAGAGCAACCTGGACCTGCTCCACCTCATCACCCATGGAAACTGCCTGTTTATCTCCCTCTTGCTCTCAGGCATTTAAATGTGACACCTACACACACACACACCATCTGCAACTGAGCCAATACTGGTGATTCTCCCACTTCAATTCACTGCCCCCCCCCCCCCCGATTATGGAATGCTCTCCCCAGTGGGCTCACCTGGCACAAACACTATTGTCTTCTCAGTGCCAGGTTAAGTCCTCCTCCTCTCAGGCGTTAGGCAGCAGATAATGAAGTTTTAATCTGGTCTGGAATTTTTCTGGTGGTGGCTTGTTCAGAATTATCTGTCTTTCTCTGTGTTGCATGTTTATATGTTTGTATGTATGTGGCTTTTATGATGCATTTTTCATCATTTAATTTTTTTGTAAACTGCTCAGAGAGTTTGGCCTACTAGGCAGTATAGAAATGATTATGATTAATCACTACTATATTTACGCCATGCCTGGAAGGAACCCAAGCTGGGCTACCTGGTCCTGCTCCTCTCCAATTTATCCTCATAACAGCCCTGTGAGGTAGGTTAGGCTGGAGCCAGTGACTGACCCAAAGTCACCCAGTGAGCTTCATGGTCAAGTGGGGACTAGAATCCAGACAGCCTGAATTCCGGCCCTGCACTCTTCACCACTGTGCCACAATGCCTCTAGAAATACAGTGCAGTGTCATGAATGAATGCTCAGGGAATGTCACAGCCCTTTAACTGCTAAGAACACGCAACAGCAGCCCCCCAACATCCACTGGGGCTCCCTGCATGTTATGCACATTCCCAGCAGGTGTGTGGGCAGCTGCAAACCCTCCCGGAGTCCTCATTGTTTTCCCTTTCCACAGGGCCAGCTACTCACGTGGCCATGCTGATCGAGTTCATTGTTTGTCAGCTTCACTTTTTCAAAGGACACCATCTGCTTCAGCAATTGTTCCCCTGTAAATGGAGAATCCGGATGCACGTACAGTCTAGAAAGCCAACAGACACAGAGTCAATCAACATCAATCAAGCCCATCTGCAGTGCCAACCTTTTCCTTTGTAAGACAGTAGCCCTGCCCGGTGGTGCAGGGGAGTGCATTTTGATGCACAGGCACTCATCCTGACAGGTCCCTGTGGCCGTACCCCCAAGGAAAGTCCAACAAAGGGGGCAGCTGTGTTGACCCATATCCACAAACCAGTTCTAGCAATTTGTATCTTGGCTCAGAGCAGATCTTTTGCTGAGCTAGCCGCTCTTAGTTGCTCATTCAACTACAAGCCTCCAGAAAACAGATAGCACTCTAGGGATGCGGAGGGAAGAAGTCAGGGTGTTGATAAGAACAGGCATGCCTCCATCTCTCCCCACCTCCTGGCATGCCCCCTTTTCTGCCCTCAAAGGCATATCTGCAACCATGCTGGTTGAAAGTGTGCCAAAGAAGGTGGCAGCCTTTGAGCTAAGGATCTTGGAACTGGGACTCCAAATAATCCTGTGGCCCCCAGTCAACACTGGGAGGATACAGGATCGTGCTCTAAGTAAATAATGAAATTACTAGACCAACTAGTCAACATCTCTTCTTCTAACTCCACATGCTCCGAGATCCTCAGTGCAAGCCCTCTTCTTGCAAGTGTGGGCCCAAAGAGATTATGCATTTCGTCTTTAGTGAAAACCATTATGTCCTAATTCCCACACCTAAGAGAAAACCTGGGTTGTATCCTGCAGTCCCAGATCCATATAATGAAATATCTCTTCTGTTATCTTTCCACCATGCTGATGATTCAGAGATTGATTCATAAAACACAGACCCAGAGAGCCCTCTTATGCTAACACCCCCTTCATTGTGCTATGGGGCGGCATACAAATGCAGTAAGTAAGTAAATAAATAAATAAATATTGTAGGCTTGATCCAAAGCTCTGACATTATGCATAGAACTAAAGACTTTCTAGCCACTGCAAAACATACAGTCTATTGAAATTAAAACTTCCTTTAATAATATATTTAAGCTAGAGTGTTGGCCATATGAGTGTACAGGGAAGAGAATGTGGACAGAATGCAGGCTTGCCTTGTGCAGAATCATAAAAATCACATCTACCGCTAAGGTGGGGGGGCTCACTTCCAAGCATGCACACGTCACACCAACATGCACAACTGCAAGCCCAGACAAATGTCCCTGCAAGGAAATTCCACTGAAATGCAGGTGCAGCTACTGCTATCAACAAAGAGATGTCCGAACCAAACCCATTAAGCCCTTCACTCGCAGGCCTGTAACATGAATAAATGTTTTTCTTTTAAAGCTTGCTTATTTCCGGGACCTTTCCTTCCTTCTATAATCTCAAACATAATTTAATCTCTACTTCTTAATGACTCCATTCTAGATTACTACTCAGCAGGCTTGCTGCTATGTCTTTACCCAAATGGAAGACCGTGACTGCTCTTCCCTGCAGCTATTCCAACTAGGGCTTGATAAAACCATAACGACAGAAGAGCCACGAAGGATCAGCCCAGCCCTCAGAAAGCGACCTGGAGACCCCATAAGCAAGGTGTGAATGCAATAGCACCTTCCCACTCATGGTCCCTGGCAACTGGTACACAGACGCATCCTGCCTGTGCTAATGTACAGCCATCATGACCAGTAGACATGGATGGCCTCATTCTCAAGGAAAGAATGGCTCACAGGCACATGTCCCGCAAGCCACCATGTTGTAGCAGTTACAGTGCTGGACTAAGGCGATGGAAACCAGGTTCAAATCCTACCCCACAGTCATGAAGTTTACTGAGTGATCCTGCCCTGCCTGCACTCTCTCATCCTAACCTACCCCACCAGGCTGCTGTGAAGATAGCAATAACAGACAACTGTGTGCACCAACAATCTACCTTTATGAAGGAATAAACAGGCATAGCAAAATTCATGCAGAAATGGGAGAGTGGAGGAATTGGCTTTTAGCTGAATATACTGCAGTGTTTTTAATGAAAATATTAATTATGATGGCATTACAGTTTGCATGGAATAAATAGCAAAATATGAGGTGTATTGTGAAGGAAATTAATCAACACTCTACTGCCAATGTTAAAGAAACAAATTAAAGCCAATAAGGAAAACAAGGCATGCAGAAGATGCGTCTACAAGCTGGAACTCATAAGGCTCATATGTCTTTCAAAGATTTGGTCTCGCTTGCAAAGCCTTTTAAGCTAAATAATACTGTATATCTGGGAAGGCTTGACAAGTTTCACAAAGGATTTTTACTCTCTCTAAAGGAATGTTTCCTTGCACATTCATGGCATGAAAAAAAGTTGCGTTGCATTTTGACAGCAGGAAAAGAAGGATTTAATGGTCATCTGCAAGGAAGGTTTATGAATAGAAAAGCTTTCAAACAGTATTGGATAATCCTTGTTAATTTCAGCTTCAGCAGTTGTAGTCCTGAAAGTTATTTCTGTATAGAAATGATGTGGGGAAAGCCTGAGGGGATACATGTCAACAAGGCTTTCCTCATCCATGACTTCATTCAAGTAAACTTATGCATGGATCTTTCCATGTGATCAAGTGTTACTTGACCCAACCATGCAAAACACGTAACACAGAGATCACTGTTTCAGCACCTACATTTAAATATCCATGCAGAAATGTGACTTTGGTATTGAGGCATAAGAAACCAAACAGCGATAATGAAAAAGCAAATTGAAATCCTACTAGTTTAATGTCAGAGCTGCATGCTTATACTTTTAATCATTGGGAGTTTTTGTTTCATCTTCAGGATACTGTATGAGCAGAGGAGACAACAGCATCTGAGTAAAATCAGTCAAGAGTGGCATGAGTAGGAGACAAGCTGAAGGTGTCATTTCTGAGCAAATTTTATGCAAGATACACTATATCTGCCTGATGCACAGTTAGGTGGAAAGGCCCCTGAGAGGCTTGTAATGAGATGTTCTCTAAAAGCAGCTCTGCAAGCTGGAGGGAAATCATTTGCCTTTAGTCTTTCATAGAGATTTGAGCCCAAGTTGTACACAACTCTGTCTTGTGCAACCAGCTTTAAGCCGGATCAATTGCACTGGAGAAAGTGGAGTTCCTTGTCCCCTGTTCCCATGGCATCCCCTTCAGTCCCCTGACAATGCAACACAGAGAATTAGGAGAGCTTGCTGAATGGAGCTGTATGGGGAGAAGGCAAGACCCTTTAAAATCAGGTGAGATCATCTGCAAATGGAGCCCTTCAGTCCATGGATGGGAGATCTTGAATCTAACCCAGAAATTCAAGCCATTTTCAGACCCTGAAGTCTGCCCACCTCTGTTGTGTAAGTAGCCATTGTGCTGGAAGAACCACTCTGGTGAGTATCTGACACTCTTTCAGAAGTGCTCTACCACCCTCTACTTGTACCATTTTACATTTGTGATTGAGATAAGTTTTACTGAGACACTTGAATACATTTAAGTATTTCTTTAAAAAGAAAAGCTTTAAGATCTTTATGATGGACTGTAGGAAATGTATCAAATGTGGATGCAAAGAAGAAGATGGCTCCATCTCATCAAACCATGCAGCTAATTCGCATCTTTCCAAGCATGTAATAAAGCCAGTTACCACGCACCATCACATCACCACATACTTTTCCAGAGTGGGACAAGAACTGCGCACTGAAAATAGAAATGCCTTTGTGACAGAACAATCAGATGATCACTCTGCAACACGGCACGTGGCATCGCTTGCTGGAGGTACGGTGCACACACAGTCCTATTTTTGAACCACATGAATCAAGCCCAAAGAAGTTCCTTTGCACCAGTTAATAATAGGCACACTCTAAGGCAGCCTCGCCAGCTTGGGATGCTCCAGACTGTTCAGACTGCAATGCCCAGAATTCTTGACAATGGGCAATAGGACAATAGGACTTGAGGTTCACCAGCATCTAGAGGGCTTCAAATAGAGGAAATATGCTATAAGGCATTCAGAAGAGCTATGTCTGACCCCCACCCCACCCCCACGGGTACCAAATCTAGCTATAGAGGAAGAGAAGGACAAACTAAAGATACCCTGCAATCTGGTTCTAGGCAGTAAGATGTCAAAGGCAGTAATGATTGACTGAACTGTTCCATATACTCAGTGTCAAACCAGGGTTTGGTACAAGGAGACTAAGCTGTGGGGTGGCACATCTTCTCCCGTCCTCGCCAATCTGGGGGCCCTTCATCTCTGTCACATGGTGATTTGCTATTTTGTCCAGATCAGGAAAAATATAGTCTGTGTGTGCCCTACAGACCAAGACTGGGAAGCTAGGGTTTGATCCTGGTTTCCAATCCTTGAGTACCACAAGAAAAAGAAAGAAAGGATGCACGGACGGACAGAATGTGAATGCTGGAGCTTCTTGGAAAGGTGATTCTCATAAGACCCAGACATACCATGCCGTTACATTTGAAGCAGCTCTGTCTGTCACGATCAGCACCCTAGGAGGGGCACATTTGTTCAGGTAGCAAGACAAGTAAGCTGCAGACCTCACCACCTCTATTATCAAAATTTGGATTAAGAAAGATAATAAACAGGAAAACGAATAAGCAATATAAAATGGTTTGGGTTTGGGCTACGTTCCTTGGGAGGGAGTCCCACTGAAATCCAATTACTCCAAAATTTGAATTCACTGAACTAGGCAACCTACCCTTGCCATTGTCCAAAACCACATAGAGAGATATTTGGCAGGCAGGCTTTTTTAGATAACCATTTCAAACTGCTTTTTGTCAGGTAAAGCCCAGAGGGGGACATGCCAATATTTGCAAGAAATATTGCAATTAAAAAAGAAAGCATAGAGAAGCCACAGCTGAGTGGATGACCACTTTCTCACTGACAGGTGCTTTCAGCCAGTTAAACTGGGTGGAGGGCGGGATTAATGATATGATGCAGGTGAGCATTAGGGTAACGCCTCAAAGATCTCCTTTGCTGGATTGGCTAATTTGCCACCAACGGCCATGATCCAGGGACCAAAGCAAAGGAGAACAACAGTTGCAGAACTATCTGCCTAAATGGTAAGGCTCACCCAAGTGCTATAACCTAACAATGTAAGAAGTGCAGTTTATTATACAAAAAGTGATCAAGAGAAAGAAAACACAGCTGTAGTTGGCCCATACACAAAAATAGGAATCTTCCAAAATACTTTCTGGAAAAGGATGCACAACTCACAGAAGGAAGGGGCAACTGGATTATACATCTTATATAATAAATTGCACATGTTATATTTTTATATTACAACCGTTGGGTGTTCCTTAGCATTTAGATGCGGGGCACATTTGTTTGATTTATATTCCACCTTTTTTCTTATAAAGAACTCAAAATGGCTTAGATGATTCTGCTCCTCCTGTTCTCCATCTTATCCCCTCAACAACGACCCAGTGAGGGAGGCTGTGCTGAGTCTATGACTGGCCCAAAGTCCAGTTGGCTCCATGGCTGAGTGGAGACTAGAACCCAGATTGCGTCATCCCACACTTTTAGCCACCTACACCACACTGGCTCTCCCTGACATTGCAGGGGGCCACTTTTTAAAAACTTTGGCTCCTGGTATTCTGGATCATTGGCTTTGTTTTCAGGATCTTCTGGAAAGTGAAGTCCAAATCATCTGAAGATGTACCTTGTGTGTAAAGGACCTCTTGTGCCCACTGATCCCCGAGCCTGGCAGCAAAGGCTGTACTCTCTGTCTCATCAACACTTGATATCCAAGCAAAAGGGCAAGTACCAGGGACCGGACCCTCTTGGTACGAGCAGCACCCTCCCTGCAGAAACCTGCCCAGCTCCCACTCTTCCCATCTGTAGACAACATTTAAAACCCTTCCTGATCCCTTGTTAGGCTTTTTATGCTTGATTTTATTTAATATTTGTTGCTGGTTGTTAGATTAGATTTTTTTAAGTGTAGATGTGTCTTAAACTGTTCCACACAGTGTAGATTTTCATGGTTGTTTTGTTTACTTGCTCTGAATTTCACATATGGTGGGGAAAGAAAATCTTTTTAAATGGAGAGATGACAGTGCCTCTAATTAACTTTAAAGAATGGTGCCATTACAAATGAGACTGTATTATTATGCAAAAGATTTCACTAGCAGGAAGTGATGCTCTACCTCAGGGTGGCATTTTCCAAAGCCCACCTTGGGGCTTCCTCCCTTTCTCTTTAAGGAGGGTCATTTTGACACTGCACAGAGCCCAGGCTACTCTGCTGGACTGGTTTGGACGGGTTGTACTCCCAGTATCAACACTGGGAGCATAAAGGAGCATGAAGCTGGCTTTGCTGGCTCCAATTCCAAACAGTGCTTGGCAATTCCTAGTTTTTATCCACCCCCATCCCCAATATGTTATGCTATATTCAGAAGCTGAAAGACATGTGCCTTCAACTGAAAAGCAGGTTATGTCCCTTCATCTTGAACAGCAAGTCAACAATTAATCGACTACAGTACATAAACACATGCTGTCAGCTGAAAAATGTAATGTCACTTCTTGAAAGGCATCCAGCTACAATCTAATATTTTTCCCTTGCACTTGGCCACATTTACTTGGTGAAGGGGAAGAAAGAAATGTAGCAGGGGTTGAGATGAAGTGGACCCTGAGATTTTAGACGGCTCTGTTGAAATGGTTTGACATAAAAACTGTTTCACTTTGATTCTATTTTATTTTACTTTGGGGTGGAAGGAGAGGCAAACAAAATTCTTAAGATCTTTAGATAGCCTCTGGCTGAAGAACCACTTAATTCAGCCCACATCATGCAAAGGATTCCCCACCTGCCACAGCTACTAGCTCCAAGTATGGTGTTTGGCAAAGTGACATGAAAGGTTAATAGCTGGTATTTGTGTTTGAGTGTATGCATGAGGTCCATGGATGTAGAATTTCAGGCCCAGGAACCCAAATCTAACCTATTGGGCCATCCACAATGGCTATATGTCCTTCCCCTAACTAATAATTGGTTGGTGTTTTCCTTGCTTTTGTGTAATTTTTCCCAACTCTAAAGCTTGAAATGCCTCTCCTAAGGAGGCCTAGCTACTGGCAATGACCTTTATGCTCAACTATGCCAGCAATCTAGTGTTGGGAACCCTGAAGTGTGTTCCCCAAGAGCTTCTCCAAAGCAGAAGCTGGCTCTTGGGTTGAAAGAGGATCCTCACCCCTGCCGAAAGCTTATGAATGGACTGACCTTGCAGGAAGAGGCGGGTCCGCTTTGCCAGCAACCAACCATGAAGACCTGTGGTAGGCATATCGGTATCTCTTATTGTCCACTGGAACAATGTCCATAAGCACAATGAACTTGGCTTCAGGATCCACACCAGAAAAGGAAACCCGAATGGTTGGAAACATCCTTCTGAAATAGATAGGAGTGAGATGATGAATATGTAAAGACCAGAGAAAAGAAGAATCCTTTGGAGACTGACCAGAAGCAAACATTACAGCGCAGCCACCAAAAGAGCCAGGGAAATTCCGAACATGCCTGAATCTCTCTGCTAGGAGATATTTAAAACAAGCTTTATCTCCCAGCAATATGCATTGACTGAAGCCCTTTTAAATGTATATTTTAAATGTTTAAATGCATTTTAAGGAGATGGGGAATAAAATTGTGATCTGATTGCCCACAAGAAAGAAATCTGTAAAGGAAATACACCCCTGTTCCCTTTGAGCCCAACAACAACCCTCAGGAAGCTCAGAAAGCAAAACTAAGAGGCAGGGCAAAGCTACTGCCTGATCTTTAGGAAGGCAATCTAAGAGGGCATCTTGGATTCTGGATAACATTAAGAAACAGAAACAAGAAGCCAAATGGAGGCACTGCCAGGGGACAGCAAAAATGAAAGCAAACAGTCACTGCAGGCACAGCGTCAGTGGTGTAGTGGGAGGTACAGAGACTCATCATGACAGTCTCCATATTCCTACCCCTTAGGAGAGTCCAACAATTCAGGTATGGAGGCTGATCCATATCAAGAAATCAGTTCCAGCAGCTTTCAGCTCCATCAGGAGCAGATTTTTGAAAAACAAAACAAAACAAAAAACAAATGGGTCTTCACTCTATTCTGCTCACTTGCCAAAGCTCCATGGTGATTCACAACAATTAAAACCATAAAAGACAACATAAAAGATACCTTAACATTTAAAACTATAGAATAAAATAGAAGTAAAGGACAAAGTAAAAGAGGACATTGGATAACTGAGATACTTACATTAAAAAAATAAAAAATGGCTGTATTGGAGAAGAGCTGTGTCTAACAATTTCATAATATAATTTTATAGATACTATTCTCTCTCTCTCTCTCTCTCTCTCTCGCTCTCGCTCTCGCTCTCTCTCTCTCACACACACACACACACACACACACACAGAGTAAAAGCAGTAGATCATGTTTGCCCAATCAGGCACTCTCCAAATATTTTGGATTACAGCTCCCGGAATCCCTGACCACTGGCTGAAGCTCATGAGAGCTGATGTCCAGCAACATCTCAGGGGTACACCAGGCTGGGGCAAACTCCCACAGACGGAGAGGGGAGGAAAGTCAGCACTTTCCAGTTGGCAGAATATTGTTCCTCATGTGCTAGAAAGGACAGTATTCCCATATGTAGCCCTTTGAGGAAAGCGGCTCCAAGGCATCTTCCGAGCATTTGCTCTACATTTATTCAATTCATGTCATTTCACCTATTCCTTGAAGAAAGGCATTTACATCTATGACATTTCAAGGATGTATCTAAATGCTAAGGAGTGAATGCAATAAACTTGTGTGCACGAACAAGCATCTCTTCACATTTCTGGGGTAAATGCACTTGGCGGCAGATCGCCACTTAATTTGTTCACCCTATGGTGAATTAACCGAGGCCTCCGCTGTGTAGCATGTAAAACAGCCTTAGAAAAACCCTAATGTGGAAACATCTCGAAAGAGGCAGGAGGGGAACATTCTTTCATGCATTTATGGTCATCAGGGAGACCAATACAGATTAAGCTACACCTCATTTTCCACCTTACCCTTCCATTTCTTGGCTTCCCTCATGCCATTCTTAACAGCAACTGCCATAATCCAGCACACCTCGTGACTGTATGAGACCATAGGAATATCTGCCAGAGAATTTTGTGAATCACTTCCATAATTAGCATGAGAGAAGTTGTGCTTTTGCCTCAATGAACTCATGACAGGTAGTCAGGTAGGATGAGATTGCCAAGGCTTTTTGTAGAGAACTTTCAGGCAAAAATTCACAATTTTTAAAGCCTCCCAAAGTATAACTTCTTCAACCTAGCTTTTTAAATGCAGGACCAATTTTTTATGCTCAAAATAGAAGAGTCCTGGTGGCAGGTTCCCCAATGTGGTTTTCTTTCTATCTGCCGTGAACATTTGGAAATGAACCCATATTCTGCGAGTCTTGCCTACCTCACAGGGTTGTTGTGGGAAGGATCAAATGTAAGAGGGATGACCATGTACATCACTTTGAGCTCCTTGAAGGAAAGGTGAGATATCAAAATAATACAAACAGGAGAAAGTAGAGATTGTCCTTAGCAGGGAGTATCCCATTGAATTAAATCCTGACAACTTTGCAGGACTAATTGTATCATGAAGCTGTAGGGCGCTTAAGGCAACAGAATTTGGGAGCAGAAGGAATCCCATTGTTAGGGGCAGCTCCAGTATCTAACTTGGTGTCATTTTATTTTTAAATCAGCATCATTCTCTACTGGAGAAGCAGCCCTTATGATTTCTGGATTCATATTTAAGACTACAACAGGTACGCTGACTGCTTTGCAAGAATGAAGATTGGGTCACCCAGTCAAAGAGGATCCAGTCAAAAAGTAACTTGTGTTCTTCAGAAGTCTCAGAGCAGTTTTCCCAATTATAATTTGCATTGAAGCTTCTATGTTTGACTGCGGCAACTGCAGGGGACAGGCACTGATGCTGGAGAAGGGTCTTGTTTTAAGCACATAATAACTGGACCTTCCCCTTTCTATGCTACACATTTTGGGTTACACAGAGTTGCAATTTTACCATTACACTAGGTGTGTGTGTAAACATTTATTGCAGACCAGAAGCAATAAAATAAGGCCATCTCAGGGCACAGATCCTTTCTGGATATGGTGCTACACGCAGCAGAAAACCTTCTTCATGTATCAGTTAAAGGGACTTTCATACAGAAATGCTTATGCCACAATGAAAGTGAGAGTCTTTAAGCTGCCACAAGAAACATGGAAACCCCTCTGGAAATGTCTTCTGGTAAAGAGCTCTTCTGCCTTACCCATTCATACAGTCACCATCACCACATTGACATTAACTCATAAACCACACTGGTTTAATAAAAAGTATGGTTGTTTTTATCTTGGTGTTCAATCACTACTGACAGTTTAGTTAAAAGGCATATTTGCTACTCTACTCAAACTAGTCAAATCCTGCTAATTAAAACAAAAGCAACAGCAAAATCTAGCCAATTAATTTAAGAATAATATCTGCCAGTCATCGACTATGGGTTATACCACCAGATACAATGCAAAACAACAATGAAAAATGAGCTGTTGCTTGTAGCCACAGAGCCACTTATTGCCATCAGGGCAGACGCACAGTGCCTGTTCATCACTCCCAGAGACAGCAACATTGACACACGATATGCATGTGTGAAAGAGCCATTTCAGAGCAAAAACAGACAAGTGGGTGCATCTCCTCAAACACAATCTTTTTCAGGGATGGCAGTTCACATGCTGCTGTGCTATCCAGCATGAGGAGGTTTGATGCGTTGGTGAGAACTGAGCAGAGACCAAAAAAAAAAAAATCGCATATACCACCTTCTTCAACATCAAGGAAACTCTTCCAGCACATTTGGGTTGCATCAAATAGAGGATGGGTAAAATCCCAGCTACTTGGAGTAAATTTCCCAGCTCGTGGTAAAGCCCTCCTTTTCCAGACTTCTGGATTCCACTTGTTCTATATCCTTCAACATTATTTTCTCACCATCACCCCTCCTGGATTTCCTTTAGAAACTATACTGAAGCCCTAATCTTTCACGCACTTACCTAGGAGTAAGCCTTGCTGATAGCACTGTGTAGACATTATTCCCAGCTACAAAACAGGAATATATATATTATGCTATGGCTAGATTCTTTGGAAGTCACATCTTGCCTTCTCACCAAGACTCTCTATGGTTCTCCCAGCATCTTACCGTCCAGATTTTGTGATGATCATCTCTGTGCCCAGGTCATGGAACTTGTCCCAAAGTTCCTTGGTCTCCAGACTGCAGGAGATCTTGGCCATCTCCTCACTGGGTATGATGGGAGTGGTGGGGATAAGGGGTTCGGTGCACAGAGAAGAGGGGCTGCTGCCGCTGCTAAAATCCCCTTGGGTGTCCAAGGTGGGCAAGTCGCTCCGAGCCTGAGAGCAAGATGACTTCTCCACGAATTGCTCTGTAAGGAAGGTGAAAGAGAAAGGGCAACAACCTGGTGAGAAGATCCATCTTGGTGAATAAACCAGTCACCACATAAGAGCTCTTTAAAAATGGAAAGAAAGTCAAATCCACCACCCAGAAGGTGACTAGACAATGACAACCGTCAAAAAGGATTCCAGGGCAAAGCCAATAATCAGGAAATGAAATTGACAGGCCAGCAGAAAGATTCACAGTTCCCAGAAATGAAGTTGGCAAGTGCAAAATTGACCACATTTTTGGTTTTGGCCTTGGTCTGGAGCAAGCCAGAAGATCAAGGCTTTTAGACTCGGCTTAGACTATTAGGTATTCTTTCATTCCTCACTTGTCTAAGTGAGCAAACTTATACCCTCTTGAAAAGTAGAAGCTCGAAAATAATGTGTATGCTTCAGCAACAGTCAAACTTCATGAATTCCAGCATGGAAGTAAAACACCAATTTTCAAATGACATCCCATTTATTGGGAGATATTTGTCTGCCACAATGATAAACAGGGCATTGGTTGCAGCCATAAGTTTTTCCCTGGAAAACTGACGAGGACAAGGCATTTTAACTCTGGTAAACAAACATCCACCCACTGGCTACACAATCACTGCCAATTACTGAGAATCAAAAAGTGAACAGAAAGTGTTGTGTATGAAAAGATCTCCTCAAACCTGACTCCATAACTCCTCCCAAGTCCAGTTTTCTGTGCTATCCTGTTCATGGGAGTTTAGGACAGACCAAAGAAGTTAATACAATCTCCTTTCTTAAATTCAATACTTACATATTTAATGGAATGATACAAGCTTTCAATATACACAGAACAATCTTAGTATTAGCAAAAAAGGAAATGTGCAGGTGCTATTAGTGGAAACGACTACAGCAGTTTTGTGCAAGAGGTGAGGTTTTAGTGGAAGCATACAAGGCCTTTAGCCTCATTCTTCCTGAGGTGATAAAGTTGGGCCTGGGAGTACCACTTGGGACTGCAAGTCCAAATTAAAGTTCTTCTTTAAAATAAATAAATAAATAAATAAATAACCTTGCTGTAGGGAACCTGTAAGGGTTCCACATTAGCCCTGGCTACTAGAGTATCTGGATATATTTGTTTTAACTACAGATGTATTAATGGAAGCGTAGTCGATTGTGGGACATTTTGCTTGTAATCTGTCGTATACAGTCCAAGAGCTGGTTTACCACCTTACCAAGACTTGCAGCCTCACAGTAAATCCGAAGTACTTGTGACTGAAGTCACTTGACCTTGAAAAACAAGCACTAGTTTTCAATACAAACTTTCCGGGTTGGTTTTATCTCAAAAGGGGGTAAAGGTGCCTCCCTTGCGAATAGTGATGAATGTGGGAAAATAAAAGGGGGCGAATTCAAAACGGAATGCAGGGAGATCATTTTCCTAAACTGAGTGCGTACATGGGGGAAGTGCGCATGACCTTAGAGGATGAAACTCTAAAGGCTCAATCCCATGCAAACTATGCTGGCTGAGGCATGCTGGGAGTTGTAGTCTTTTCTTCGGTCTAAATTTGCATACGATTGAGCCTTACGCACACTTTCTTGAGACCAGTAGGTCTTCTACTGGAGAAGGAGACCTGAGACCTGGTCTAGTAGGAAAGATTTTGTCGTTGTTTTTTAATGCACAGTTTTAGAGGACAAAAACACAAGGCATGGAAATACTCTAAGTAAAAGCTGAAAGCACTTTTATATCTGTGGGATTTCAGTGGGAGATCTGGCTGGTCATCCTATGCAGTCAGTCCTGTTGAACTCAGTGAAACCGACTTACAAATTGCACTGTTATGCCCGGTCTGAACTTAGTGCTGCAGAGCCTTGGCACAATTTTGAGGTGCGGGTGGGGATGTGCAGTGGTCCTTATTTCTGAGTAAACGTGCTGGGGATTGCACCACTTGATTGGATCCTTCTCCACTTTGTGATTGGTGGTGGCAGAATTTATGGTGCTCCCTGAAGATTGCCATTTACTTCCCCATGCAAAGGGTCATTGAAAGGAAATGAGTTTCAAGGGTGGTTGCAACGAACATGGGAGGTTGGAGGATGCAGTAGGATCCAGTGTTGGACTAGCAGTGGTGAGATCCAGGTCAGATCCTCGTTCAGCAAAGGTTCGGGATTGCCTTGGGTCAGTTGCTACATCTCAGCACAACCTCCCCACAGGATTGGGGAAGCCAAAATGTGGGGTGCAGAATCATGCATATCACCTGGAGCTCAGGAAAGAAAAGGCTAGTATAACGATAATGAGCAGAGTGATCAGTATCTGAGCTTTGACTTTTTCTGATCACAGTGCCCAGAAGAAGCATCAAACCTAATTCAACTGGATAGCCTCCATCCTTCTGGGCGGAAGTGGACATTTGTTTCAGCTTGGTTCTCATTTCTGCCTCCCCTGTCTTAGCCAGGACAGGTAGCAGAGGGTCGAGTGAGTTGTCTGAAGCGAGAGATCGGGTTCAAGGAACAGTGCGATCCCTTGACCCACGTCCTACTCCAGATTCCGCTCCGCAAGGCAATTCAGCACTTGCTGTTGTGAAGAAGTTCCGGTTTCAAGAAGAAAGAGGGTGCGAAAAGGGTGCCCTGCCCAGGCAAGCCGAGGGGCTGCCGAAAAAATACGAAGCAGCACGGCAGCGCTGCTTGTCTTGAAGAAGTCCTGTTTGGCCTGGAGGGAAAAGATGCGCTGCAGACAGAAGTTCTCCGATCAGAAACCCGTTGTGAAATCCAGCCTGCGCCCCAGTGGCTGGGACAAGAGCCCCCTGCCAGGAAGCCACGGCACAGCAGCCGGGCCTCCCGGGACTTGCCTTGGGACTGGAGGAAGAGATCGTCCTGTCAGCTTGGGCTGAGAGACAGACCTTGCCGGCAGATGCAGGAACTCACCCGGAGACGTGCCCGGGGTGTGAACGCTCCATCTAACGGGTCCAAGGCGAGCATCAGGAACATATGACAGGACCAATCCAAGGCGCTTAACCCACCAAATGCCAGAACACACATACATACTCCTTTTGCTCCTCTGATCATAGATGGACTTTCAAGAGACTAGTCCTGTGTAAGGCTGAGAACAGAAGCACACTTAAGTGAGAAGAGCATAGAAATTAGTAAAATGGACAGAGCAATCGTATATCCAATTCCTTGGAATAGGGAAACCGCTATTAGTAGGCTTGCTTCTGAGTAGACATAGGAGTAGCATCATGCTAGAATGGCTGGATTTTATATGTAGCTATCAAGTAAGCGCCATTAAATCCAATGCACTGGCTTTCAGCAAACTGCACATAGGGGGACTGCAGCCTTATTTCCAAGAAAATTTGATTTGGGGTGTTAAGGCTCAAGAGAACCAGAAAATATATCCTCAGCAGGCAGGGCTACAAGTCCAGTAACCACTTCCAAATAAACAAGATCAAATCACCCCATTTTTCACTCAAATTCCTCTGAAATCCCATGGACAGGTTCATAACCCTGATCCAAAACCCCTTTTCTGCTTAAGTTCTTTGATTTCAATTAGCTTAGTTCACGTGGGATTCAGAACATGACATTCCGAATCACCTTGTGGCTAAATTCCCCATGCCATTGAAGACAATGGGCATTCATCTGATCAAATCTTACTGGAAAACTCAGTATAAATGCCAGATTTGTGGATCATCTTAAGGGCAGTGCAGATTTTTATTCAGAACAGCTTTTCCTAAAGCATACCATCATCAGTACAAAGATGTACTTAGACTTATGGATGGACAGAAAATGTCTGTTCAATTTCTTTCAACACCCCACTGAGAATATCCAGCAGTAATTTCTCCTTCGCAAACCCCACTGAAATGAATTAACTTTCCCCTTGCATAATCCCATTAATTGGATCGGAGCTCAAATTCTGGGGACTTGGGACTTTAATAGGACTGAAGTCCTATTGATGTCAAGACTTCTAAGCAGTCTGATTACAGAGAAGCAGTACCCCCGAAACAATTCATTGTACAACACGTTTAGACAATCGCATCCTTCAAAAAGTTAAGTCATTATCTCATCTCCCCACAAGGAAGTCATTTCCAGCAACTACAAATAGAATCAGACACATGTGTTGCTGGAACATTTGAAGGATTGCCTTGCTTTAATTTTCAATTTGCTTGCTTGCTTGCTTTGTTTTGTTTTAAATTCTTTGCCCGCCTCATGTCTCAATTAGGATCCCATCAGGATATTCTATTTGGTCAACCCACAGCCTTAAATGCAAAGGCACTTAAACAGGGGTACGGTTGGAATCTCCAGAAACCCATTTTTATTCAAGCTACAAGGTGGCACAAAACATCCTGTCTAATTTTTTCACAGGTAAGCTTAGTGACTTGGATAGCCATTGATTAAGATCCTTCAATATATTCCCAAAGGAATTCAGTTGAAAAGCTGAGATTTTTTTATAAGTCCTGTTAAAGTCCCACATTTGACCCCAAATCGAATAGCACATAATTGGTAGCCTGGATTTTTAAAATGTTATCCAGACATTCAGGCATACACTGCCCTTGTGATTGTGTCCCACTGGGCTTAACCACGGAGACTGAAGTGTGGATGTCCCATTGATATCAATGAAATTGGCTTCCAGGCAGAGCTCGATATTTCTGGGAAACGCCGCTAAATGTACAAGATTCATCTGAAGTCTCCAGTCTGGGAAATGGATCAAACAGAACCAAACCCCAGTTGTGCCATCAGAAGAAAGCCAGAAGATAACATACGCAGAGAACATGCTATTCCAATTTTTGTCCTAAAGTAAACCCATTGAAATAAATGGGTCTTGGGATGTGTGTGTGTGTATTTTTTTTTTAATGTGCCATCAGGTTACCTCCAACTTGTGGCAGCCCTATGAATGCATGTCCTCCAAAATATCCTGTCCTTCAAGCTCTGCTCAGCCCTTGAAAACCCAAGGCTCTGGCTTCCTTTACAGAGTCGAAACCTCACATACGTGGAGGTCCTTAGCTGACTACACTGTAAGTCAGTCATTTCAATGTTACCCACGCAGTCACTAACTGTGACTTTGGAGCACTAACTTATGTGCCATTGACTTCACCTAGATTTAAAGCGATTGTCTGTGGTTTCTTCCCAGGTAGAGAAGAAATTTTTAAAAAGCAACTTTACTAATAGTTGCCTGCCTGCTGTCCGCATCTATGCCTGTACCATCTCCTATTGTTCATCTTAGACACTAGTGGGCTTTGCTTAGCATCTCTAAAGGATTTGGCCTTTTTGAAAGTCTCGAGGACTAGAGGGAGAAAAGAACAGTGCTAAGATCTTCCTTCAGAGTCCGTGGCAAAATTCATCCATGCAAAAAAGACTCGAAGAGAAAACGGCAAACTCTTATTAGTGTTAAACTGAGCCTGTTGCAAGTAACATGAAACCAATTAGCTTGAGCGAATTTCCTAAAGAATCATTATTCAAAAGCCTTTTATTAAAGGATGACTTTGGGGCTAGAAAATAGGTTAGATTATCTGAGAAGCAAAAACATCAGAAAGAAACACACCAGAAAGAAATAACTGCAGATTGAGGATATCTCCATTTTAAAGCAAAAACTTTAAATTTGTTGAATTTGTTTATACTGTTTGTTTCTAGCAGAGCAGACATTTCAAGCCAAAGTCAAGATACTGGCCCAGATAGAAGATGTTCCTTAAAAATGTATTTAGAAGTGAGAAGGTTTTTGAGAAATTTAGAGTAAATTACTCTTGATAAAGAGTAAAGAAAATTGATGAAAGTAATTAAAATATCAGTCAATGATGAAGGAATTCGTTTATTATGTTTTTGGGAAAAGAAGTACCCCACAAAAATTGCTTTGCAAGTTTGATAAAAATTAAAGTCTGCAAAATAGTATTTTCAGATAAATCAACAAGGAGAAACATTTGATCTTTTTAGGTAATTGTAAGCTCCCCTGGGACAGAGAGCTATTTATGGTTTTCTTATGGGAAATCTATGAACGTCTGACCTACATACACTTTTTGGAGCAGGAGGAGGAGGAGGAGGAGGAGAAGAAACTGTCTGCCTCATCCACTATTCCTGGGACTGGAAGCAAGTTCTCTTCAGAATCAGTGCTACTTAACTTCTAAGTTCAAACTGAATGTTTAGAACTGCGTGTTTGTAGCCAATGTACATCTTTAATATACCCACACATTTACTAGGAAGCCAAGCCCATTAACACAATGGTAACCGTGTTTGTATGGAACTGCCCTCAAAGCCAGCTGGGGAGGTTTACTTCAGGTTCGCAGACAGACACATGGCCATTCAGACCCTGTCAAAATTCTCCCACCCAAGTCCCCAAGGTGGAGACTGGCCTCTTCCTCGAAAGGAAATCCCTGCACTTTCATAAGTTGTGGTAACATCTAACCACCTTCATCTTAAATTTATTTCCTTGAATGCAAGTCACTCCGATGGTTTAAAGGACCAAATTCCATGTACTGCCGTCTAGATCACAGCCCTCAAACGCGTTTGGAGAACCAGGGACTAGTAGCAGGAAAGGCATTTCAGTAATTCTTTCAGGCACAACATGTATTTGGGCCAAATCTCGTTAATTTTAATTCGTATTCTTTCATGCAAACACCTCCACTGGAAAAACCAGTTGGATCCTTGGTCTGCTTACTCAGAAACGAGTTCCACCAAGCGGAATGGACTACACAGTGCGATCCAATGCAGGTTCCCTCTGGAGTAAGTCCCGCTGTTCAATGGAGCTTCCTTCCCGGCCAGATATGCGCACAACTGTGAGTGTTTCCATCTCACCGTGAAGGAAACACTCACAGATTCCTACCCGTACGGGGGTCCATCAGATTCTGGACTGCTTTAATTGGTCTGTCCCCCTTTTCCCTCAGCAAGATCGCCCCTGCTTAGAAGATGCTATCAACAACGGATCTTGGTAGCAGGAAGACTGAAGAAAAATACAGAACCCGCTTGATCAGCTCATTGTCCTGGGGCTAATTTCGCTACTGGGATTGAGCTGTTTGCCAAAGTTGTCAAAAGCTCTTTCTCCCGACCGAAGGCCCGAAACGGCTTGTCCTGAACTCTTTCACCGGGAGAGAGCGAAAGCGGAGAGGTCAAAAGGAAAAGTCTACCGAGCCTAGTTTTCTTAGGCTGACTTTTTCACTCAGTAGATGCCCTGGGGCACTGCAGCCCGACCCTCTCTATAACCCCTGGAAAGGCAGCTCCGCCGGTAAAAACGCCGCCACAACCCCGGGGAGAACGTGATTGAGTTGTAGTTCTTTAGCGTCGCGCTACGGTTTCATCCCACTTGGGGTGTTTGGACCATTCACTCGATTCTGTAATTCTTTCGAAATGTTTGTGCCATTGGTACTTAGGACGCTCGACGCAATTTTTGTTTTGTTGCCTTCCAGGGCTCGCAACCAAGGAGGACCTGGGATCTCGAATCCAGTGACAGCACCTTTCCCTCAAACGGTACTTCGGAAGGCTGCGATTCTAAACACACAAGCGCTTAGTGGGAGGTAGCTCCCATTGGACTCAACCACATGGACACGATCCAGACACCGAAAATAAGGGAGAGCAGGTAACACACACATTGGGTGTATGCATGGTACTCATGAAATTCCGGACCGAGCAAGAACACCCAGTCAGACCCACAAAAACCTATTCAGTCAGAAAAAAGAAGCCATGCAATCAGACCTAAGAAAAATACTCAGATGCACAAACCACACATACATTCAAACCCACGAAAACAGACACACCATTAGATGCATGAAGACCCCCATACACACAGTCAGATGCACGGAAAAAGAAACCCCACCACCGCGAAGCGCGCGCGCCAACACACACACACACACACACACACAGAGTCAGTTGCGCAATCAAAATTGATACGGGCAGACGCCTGAAACGCACACAATCAGACCCACAAAACGCGCGCGCACACACACACGCCCTCACGCAAGAAAAAAAAAAACACCCCCCCCCCCCCCCCCCCCACACACACACACACAAACCCCATCCCTCCACTGCCGGACACACGCGCACGGAATCAGCTACAGACGCGCCTTCCCTGGCAGCTCGGGCGCAGCGCGATCCTGCGGCCGGTGGCGCCGCGGGGACTCACCCAGCGGCTTGATGGTGCTGCTCTCGGCGCCCTCTTTCTCCTTGGGGCTCGCACTGGACATGAGCGCGGCGATGGAGAAGGCGTTGGCCCGGGAGGAGAGCTGCGGCTTGGGGGAGGCGGTGTACTCCATGCCGGCGGCGCGGGCGCGGGCGCGGCGGCGAGGGCTCCGCCAGGCCGGGGGGTCCCTGCGCGTCCCGCCCCACGCGCGCAGCCCCGCGCTCGCCCCGCCGAGCGCAGAGCGGCCAGGAGGCGCGTCCCGGGGAGAGCGCCGCGCAGCGGGGCCGGGCGGGACGGAACTTTGCAAGAGCCCAAGGGGGCGAGCTCGGGGCAGCCGCGGGCCGGGCCGGGCGGGGCTCGGGTCACGCTGCGCGCATCGTTCCCGTTCCCCTTCCCTTCCCAGCGGAGCGGAGCGGATCGGACCGAGGCAGCGCTCTCTCCGCGGAGGGCGAGCGCAGCCAGCTAGCCTGGCCGGGTCCGCGCCGTCTGCCGGGGCACTGCGAGAGACCCCCTCTGTCCTCCGCCTTAATTTGCTGGCCGCCGAGATCCTATCGGCCGCCGGCCAATCAGCGCCTGGCCACGTCAGGGCTGCCTGATCCCGCAGGAGAGGGAGGGTGGGGGGGAGGAGGGGAGAGGGGGCCTGAGCGCTCGAAGTTCGCCCGTCTTCCCCGCCACTGAGGTCACCGCCGCTCGCCTGGCTCGCCTCGCCTCGCCTCGCCTCGCCTCGGAGTTAGGTGGGACACGAGACCGAAGGGGGCTCCTCTCCCCGCGGTCGCTCGCGTGTCGGGCTGCGGGCAGGGGGCTTCGCAGAGGGCGCCCGGGTGACGATCGGTCGCCAGTTCTGCGCGCTGGGTGGCCTGCAGGAGGCGAGGTACCCCCGCCAAAGGCACCTTTCCCTTAGGGGGACGGGGGAGGGTCCGTGCCGAGAGATGACTTTGACCAGCGTTGCTCGTGGTAGCATTTTGGTTGGTCCCAAGGTAACGGGTTTGCCCAGCTCTGGATTTGGGTCTCTCTCTCTCTCTCTCTCTCGATCCCCCATAGACCCGCTATCTTCTTTTTTAAAGTAGTTATTCTAATATGTGCATGCGCGTGTGTTTTTAAAGTACTACAGAAGAAGCTATTTAAATGATGCCTGTTTTGTCCTTGTTGTTTGACAATCGAATCTTGATTGTATGGAAAGGATGCTAAAGAACAACCACTCTAAGCTACTTGCAAGTGTGGTTTGAAATGGGAAAGCCAATGAAAAGCTGGGGGGAAACTCTCTCTCTCCCCACAATATTTTACCTCTGCCTGGAAAAAAAATGGGGGGAAAGGCTGTGAAGGTTGAGAAAAATCCCATGTTCCCCCCTCCCACACCTCTGTCCTCCACCCCTGACCATCACAGCTCTGACTGGAACTTGAGGTGTGTTCAGCTGCCTGGATCACACACTCACACTTGTGTATGCCAGGGCCCACATGACTCCCTCTCCCTCCCCTCAAATGCTCCCCTACCTTGCAACCAAGAAAGTCTTGCCCTGGACCTACATTGACAGTATTCCTGCAGATGGCAGGCATATGGCAGCCTTCCTCAACTTTTATTTATTTCATTTTAATTTCACCCAGTAGCCAAAGCTCTTCAGATGGTTTTGGACTACAGTTCCCATCATCCCTGAACATTGGCCACACTGGTGGGAATGTAAGGAGCTGCAATCCAACGCATTGGAGGGGCACCAGGTTGGGGAAGGCTGGCCTTCTGCTTTCCTCCTCAGAACACCCACTTCTCCACATTGTCTGCAGGAAGGGAGGTGAAGGTGCGATCATCTGCACCTCTGGGAAAGAAAAACTTCCAGAACTCTGGACTTGGCTGTCTGGGAAACACTGGGAGTTGTAGGCCTTTCCATCTACAACATACACAGCATGGTCCTCTCTTTTGTGGTACTTTAACTCAGCTCACACAAGGGACCTATTCCAAACTAGGAATAGGCTCACACCGAGTGGACTCCCCTTCCTTTGGACCGTCGCTGTTCACTCAAAGGCGCAAGAACACACCCAGAGCCGTGCTGGATTGGATGGGGTCCAGTATCTCATCCAGCATGCTGTTTCCACAGTGACCAACCAGCTGCCCACAGGAACCCACAGGCAGAACATGAGCGCAACAGTACTCTGCAGCCCATGCTCCCCAGCAACTGGCATGCCTATCACATCCCATATCAACCACCTTCATTATTTTTGCATGAACGGTCTTGCAGCGATAATAAAGAACGGTAGCTGCGAGTGCGGCAGAGCTATGCCTAGAAAAAAGATGGGTTCTTTAAATGTCTGGCTGGGAGTGGCTTTAGACTTCCTATGGAAGAAAATCCCACCGAGAGGAGACTTATTTCCAGCCGGTAATCATGCCGAGGTTCTGGCCGCTAAAGGGTGAGGGAGATCCACCGCTTCAGCAGTTGAATGCCCATGCAAACTTCCACTGGTGTTAGTCGGAGGGGCTGATCCACAAACGCGAGCAAGGGCATCCCTGGCTGACTAAGCCAGTTGCGCATGAAGCGGCTGTTACAACGCTAATACTACAGACAGGACATCCATACCAGCCCACACTCCAGGGCTTTTCAGCAGAGCCTGTTGGCTTTCGCTTGCTTTCAGTCACGTATAGCAACTCTTAAAAGTTTTTTAAGCTCATGGATAAAGTTCTCACCGACAGTTCCAAGTCACCAAATGGGCTGCCTTCACACTGGACTGTGTATCAAGAGCTCTCCCTGCAAATGAAAGCAAAAAAGGAACCAGACTGCAAGCACTTAAAAAACACCGGCAAATCCTCTTCCTGGTCTTTTACGCCAAAAGACAAACCTTTCTCTCCATCGGTCCAAGGAGAATGAAAGAAGACGAGTGATCCACTTAACCGACTGTCTAATCCTTCAGGAATGAGGCTGGGATAATATGGCTGATCTGAAATGTGATTATCACTTGGGACGGAGTTTCTTTGGTTGAGAGCTTCTTTCCAGAGCAGTATACTTTGGATCTGAATACCGGCCAGTCCAAGAAACGGCATTAGGACAGGCTGCAAAACATTTACTTTGGAACACTGACACCGAAAGCTACCTGACTAAATGCACAATCCTACAGATATTTAGATAAAGCAAGGAAAAGCCTGACAGCTACCAGCATGTTTTGAGGTGGCTGGGGCACAGTGGGATTGCAGGCTTTCTTCCTGTTATACTGTTGTGCCATAAGTGGTGTGTATCTTTTCTCTCAAATTAAGCCAATTTCGATTGTAGTTCAAGATAAACCTCTTTGGGAATTGCTGTTGAGTAAGCGCTCTTCCCACACGTGAGTCTGCAGCAGTGGCTGTTTAGTGACTAAAGCAACCCCACTGATTTCTCCAAAGTGGGGATGCCACAGAAGGCCGGTCAGTTTCAAGCACTTGTAAACTTTGCAGGACTTGACCTCATTCACGCCTAAACTGATCCAGGGGCTTCAGAGGCTAGATTCAAATCCTAGTGAAAGCAGATCCACTTCGACAGAAACCGATGGCATCAGTTCTCTTTTCCCTGAGGCACGTGCCTGCACTGAATCTGAGAAATTAGCTGTATTGGCACTTTTCCGACTGCATGAAGTGTGTGATACATTTCCCATAGAGGCACAATATTTATTTTTTTATTTAAAGCTTTTATATGCCGTCCTCTATACGTGGCATCTCAGGATGGCTTACAAACATTAAAATCAAAAACAAATAAACTATTGATACAAATATAAAACAATATATTTTAATATATTATTTTATATATAATACAACAATATAAAATACCTATTATATATCCCTGGGGGTAACGCTCAAAAATTCCAGTGGGATATCCTAGTCCATGTTGCAACATATTTGGATGAGAGTGTTCACTTGAGTGTGGACTGGCACTACAAATAACCACAAGTAGGTATGAATACAAATGAATGATACATATTTTCCTCTAAGATTTTTTTGCTTCCTAAGATTTAGGGTACAATCCAATGGATTACACAGGAAAAAGTCCTACAATTTCCAGTGTTCTGACTGGAGAATACTGGAAATCGTAAGCCTTTAAAATTTAAACATCCATTGGATTTAATAGTTCTTCCAACTAGATGAATAGTTAGGATGGAGTGTAATGTGAAATTTCCAAGCCATAGAAAAGAAAGAAAAAACCTTTATACAATATTTGGTCCATGTTAAACTACCTTTAAGTTCCTTAGTTGCCACTTTTATTTCCTCCCAAGTGTACTTGCAAATTTGCAGAAGCCTTCTTCTAAATTCTGAAATTATGTTGTAATCCTATGTGTGTTTATAACTGAACTAAGACCCACTAAATTCCATGGCACTAAAGTCCATGGTATGATCAAGAGAATCAGTTCATTAGACTGCAGTGCTATTACATATTTGCATGAATGATCTCAGTGGACTGGTAAAGGCACATAGAATCGGGCCCGAATTTTTCAATTCCGTGTTGCATGTTTAGGATCGCAGTGTTTTGAAAACATCACTAAAACAGACCAAACTTCCTCCACACATGGGTAGGATGCTAAACTTCTCACCATATCTTCAGTTTTGCTTGAGTTAGGAATGGGGGGGGGGCTTCCCAATAATTAGAACAGATTGTCCCACTCTCAACACGAGAAACTAGAATCTTTTCAGCTGAAAGTGCTGCTGCTGCTGCTGCTGCTCCAGAATTGCTTGCCTTGGAATGTATCTGGAAAATGTGAGCTATTTTTTCCTGTCCTGGGAACGGGTGGGTCGTGACTTCACAAGCCTCTGTTTATTAAACCGATCCACACATCACTTAAGCCACAGAGCTTGGACTTAAATGGATAACTAATGACCTGGATCCAAAGCCCCCCCCTTTTTTTTTTGTTTTTTGAGAGTTAAATCTCCCCAGTAGCCATAAAATTACCTTCCACCTCCAGGATGTGCTCCTCACTTACAGTCCAGTTCTGACCAAATAGTCTTGTGTTTGCTCAGAAGCAAGTCCCATTGAGTTGACTGGAACTTGCTTCCAAGGTAAATGGACTGATTTAGTGAAACTAGTTCTTGTTCTGTATTTGAACCTGGATGGATCATAAGGTCATAATGGCAATGAACCGATTGATTACTACTAAGTACATGTAGCATAGCAGCCTAAATCTGTTGGGTGAGTCACACTGGATTGAATGAGAGTTATTCTCAAGTCCCAGGTAAATGTACATGTGATTGCAGTTCTGGCAAGCCTACTCAAAAGCTCGCTGCCTCACCAGATCTTCTTTATTTGGCATTTTCAGCAACTCCTGAAGAGTTAATAAAGACAAATCATTACAAAGTATGGGGAACAATGCCGGGGTCCCGGCATGAGCAATTAAAAAAAAATTCAATAGGTTAGGAGTGCAAGCTAGTGCGGCCAGCTCTCCTGGCTTTTGGATATGGGGAAGAGGAGACCACGTTTAAGCATATGCAGAGCTCTGATTTTAATAAATAAGGCCGTTTTCTTTATACTAGAAATAGCCCGACTTCCAAAGAGG